TTTATAAAAGAATAAAAGTTATAATAAAATAAATAAGCAAGGAATTAAAAATAGCAATAATAATTAAAATTATAATAAAGTAAATTTTAAAACTTAAAGGCTTAATTAAAAATAGCAAAGTTTTATTTTAATAATTTTTACAATATTTATTATAAAGTGCTTAAAAAAGAGTATATTAATAAATATAGAAAATTATATAAGAAATAATATTGCATTAAATTTTAATTAGCTATAAAAAGCTAGCTTTTATATTTATTTTAAATATTTTTTTAAAAAATTAACTTTTCTCTTTTCTTATATATTTAATACTTTAATTAAGCTTTTTTTATTTTTAAAAACTTTTAAAATATTTATCTTTTCTCTTTTTTTAATTTCCTTTTATTTTTATTTTCCCTTTTTATTACATTAAAGCTCCTCCTTAAGTTATCCTTAAGAAGGTTTAGCAAAACCTATTCTCTATTATTTGGGTAGCTCATTTTTAATATTTATAGGGAAAAGCAATAAAATATACTATATATTTATATAATATTATACTTTATAAAAACCTAAAATATAAGTACCCTTATAAGGTAATAAATAAAAAAAAGCCTTATATAAATAATTTAAAAATATAAGGATTTATTTTATATTTTTAGAATAATAATTATAAAACTAAATTAAAACCTAAAAACAAAAAGGGGGTATATATTAAATATAATCCTAAAATCGCATATATATTAAATATAAGATATAAATATATAAAAAGCCTATATTAATTTAAGATATTTAAATATTAAAGGATAATATATAAATAATAATAATAATAAATAATAATAATAATAATAATAATAATAATAATAATAATAATAATAATAATAATAATAATAATAATAATAATAAATAATAATAATAATAATAATAATAATAATAATAATAATAATAATAATAATAATAATAATAATAATAATAATAATAATAATAATAATAATAATAATAATAATAATAATAATAATAATAATAATAATAATAATAATAATAATAATAATAATAATAATAATAATAATAATAATAATAATAATAATAATAATAATAATATATATATTCCTAAAATTGCAAAAATAAAGGAAAGAAAATAAGGAAGTAAATTCTCCTTTTATTTTAAATAAGATAATAGTTTAAGGAAATCCAAAAGATTATATATATATTATATAAGATATATTATTAAATAACTAAATATTTATATTAAATTCTTAAGAAAATATATTAAAATACTACTTAATTATAACTATTATTAATAAACCTTTTTCTTTAAAAAAGGTATTAAATAACTTAAAAAAACCCCTATAAGTTAAAATTATGCTAAATGAAATATATAGTTTATAAGAATAAAATACGTATATAATAATAGATTTACCACTTAACTATATGGCTTTAAGGGGGAAATAGGTATATAAAAAGAAATTTATAAATAACCTAGCTATTATAAAGCCTAATTAAGTAATAAATAATGAAAATAATATTAAATTTAAATTTAAATAGGTTATTTAAAGATATAATTAAAAATTAAGCATAGATTATTTAAAGACTTTTTCTATAATTTATTGCCTTAAAACCTATACTATGTTATTAATAATAGCAATAAATAAAGAATATTATATATTTAATTATAATATTAAAAACGCATTTTTATACTTTAATATTAATTTTAAAATATATATAAAATTACTTATATATATATATATAATAAACCAAAATATAAAAATAAAGTTATAAAATTAAATAAAGCTTTATATAAGCTAGAATAATTATTTATACTTTAATATAAATACTTAAAAAATATATTAACCAAGCTAGGATTTATTATTTACCTATATAATAAAGGGGTATTTATATATTATAATAAATAAATTATATTTATATATTATATAAATAATATTATCGTTATAAAACTTAATAATAATGATATAAATTTAATAATTAATAAATTATATAAGAATATAAAACTAGATTTCTAAGGAGATTTAATAAATTTCCTTAAAAGCAATATATATATAAATAAAGATGATAAATAAATAATTATAAATTAAAATAAATATATAGATAAAATATTAAAAAGATTTAATATAAAAGAAAAGGTTAAGAAAAAGGAAATAATCCCTTAACTTATACTATATACCCTTAATAGAAAATTAAAAAAATATACTAACTAAGTTAATAAAAATATTATAGAATTATATTAATAATAAATAAGGTTTATATTATATGCTAACTTAAAAACAAGGTTAAATTTAACTTATTTTATAAATAAGTTAGCTAAATATATAGCAAACTTAAGATTAAAGCATATAAAAGAATTAAATAAAATATAGGAATATATATATAAATTCCTATATATATTTAAAGTATATAATTGCTTTAAAAATAATTTATAATTAATAGGCTATATAGATTTAAACTAGGGTAACGATATATTTATTAAAAAAAGCACCTTTAATTATATATTTAGCCTATATAATATTAATAATAATAATAATAAAATAAATCCCATAAGCTAGAATTCTTAGCTGTAAAAAATATTAATACTTTCCTTTATAAAAGCAAAATATATAGCTTTAAGAAAAGCTATAAAAAGAACTAAATATTTATATAATTTACTTAAATATTTTAATAATAATTTAAATATGGGCTTTAATCTTAAGCCCTTTATTATATATATAGATAATAATAGGGCTAAGAAATTAGCTAAAAATACCTTATTTTATAAAAAAACTAAATATATAAATATTGCATATTATTATATAAAAGAAGTAATAAAAAATAATAAAGTAATATTAAAATATATAGATTTTAAGTAAAATTTAGTAAATTAACTTATAAAATTAATAAATAAATTACATTATAAAAGGTTTAAAGAAAAGTATAATTTAATAAAAAAATAATATAAAAATATTAAGCTAAAAAATAAAGAGATTTTCTACTTATATTATAATATATATAAAATAAATTAAGGTATTTACTTTTTAATAATTAGGGTTAAGATTTTTTCCTTTACTTATAAAATATATAAATAAATAAAGTAAACTTAATTATATATATATATAATATTACCCTAAATACTAAAGGTTTTCCCTTAAAAGAAATAATTAAAATAATAAGAGTTTTTCTTAAAAAATAAGCATTACTTATACAGCCCATATATACCATATATATACATAATTATAATATACCTATATTGCATTTATATACATTTAATTTTATATAGAAAATATATTTCTATAATATATATAATATAAATAAAATAATGTATAACTTTAATATATAAAAATGCTGTAATATATTATAGCTATTATAAGATAATTAATAAATCTTATATAAAACCATAATTTAATATATAATACCTTATTAATTATAAATTTAAATCTAAGTAATAATAAATTTTTAAGTTTTTTGCCTAAATATATAATACTTAATAAATAAGTTTTTTTTCTTTTTATAAGGTTTTCTTATTATATAATTAAATATTCCTTTTTTATAAACTAAATTCCTTATATATAAAATAAAATAAATAAAAGGGAATTAATTTAAGAGGGGCTATTAAAATATTCTAAATATTTAGGCTATTATTAATATAAAATATCCTTTTCCCCATATATTTGCTATTATATAAAGGATAATAACTATAAATAAGGGCCTTCTCTCTTGTAAAATAAATATTAGCTAGCCTAATAAACTAAGCATTTAACGCTATTATTTTTATAGGTTATAAGCTTAAATAGCTTATTAAGAAAAGCAATAAACTTTAATTAATTAATAATATAAAGGTTTTTACCTAGCTTGGCAACCCAGGGTTTTTACTTTAATATTAAGATTACATAAGGTTATGCATTTAAGTCCCTAAGCAATTAATAATTCTAACCTAATACCCATAAACCCAATGTATAGCTTAAGGGGGGATGTTAGAATATATAAACTCTCTAAGCTGCACACTGGCAGCGCTTTTTATTTCTTACATGCAGCACACCCGCCACTTCAGACAGTACGTCCAGAGCATCGGTGGAGCCCTTCACAAGGCTTGTCATTACTCGGTCAGATAGCGAAGGATTACCATGTAGAGAGCCTCGGCGCCGCTCCGAGCCGCCGTCACCCGGAAGGTTTGACGGAGCTGCTTCATGGGGCCGTGCGCTTTCCTCTGGAGGCTGTGTGACGGGGCCATCTGGTGATGCGCTGGCAACGGATACCGGGTCAGATTGTAACGGCTGGGACGGGGTTGCCTTCGCCCAAGTCGGCCGGTCTCTGTGCTTGGAAGCCGTTGGTTGGCGGTCACACCGGCAGTCCTGATGTTCCCGTCGGCACTTTGCGCAGGGCGGTTTGTCGCCCACCGCACATCTCACTTTACGGGACCGACAGGAGTCGTAGGCAACGTATGTTCGTCTGGATCGGGGAGCTCGGGTTGATACCGAGTCCATGGTGGACCCTTTTCCTTCCGCACGCTGCTCAGAAGTTTGTGACGACGATGTCACCGGCCATAGAGATCTTCAGCCCAAATTCGACCCGGCCTCGTAACAATAAGGTACATTCGCGCCTACACTACGTTACTCTCGTCGATGGACTAGGGGCCCTTACTACTTGCTAATGTCGTGTTGAGAGGGGAAAACGACCTGCCGCCGCCGGGATCCCCGCACCGGTCCGTGTCTGTCCATGACTACCCGCTTCAGTCCGCCCTTTCATCCTCTGATGTGTCTCATCGCACTCTGCTCAGCACCGCAGGTGCTTACGTTGACGGCGCCGAGCTTCGCAGTTCAATTTCACATGTGCTCTCATTGACACTCATACTCCGAATACCGGACGTTGATGTTGGGGTGCGATGAGACCAGGCGTGTGGAGTTGTGTACATATTTAATTGCTCCACATCATCTTGTAGAGTTACGGATTACTTCCCATTAGCACATTTTTCAAACACTTGGGTTTTGAGACAAACCAGCCCCTATACGCAGGACGTCTTGTCTTCACTTGTTGCGATCATGTCCAAGTCCATCGTCAATACGAATCCGTACCCGTTCCAATTCGAAGCGAGTAAGCCCCCGCCGATCAAAAGAGACGGTCAGCATGTGACGATCAGTCTGGACCACTCCCGCGGACGGATCCCGTCTCTGCAGGCCTCAAAAGTCCGAGCCTTGATGCAGGAGGCACACAAGGACCCTTCCAAGATCCTCGCCCTTGTGTGCAGCTACGACGCACTCAGCTCGCGGCTCTGTGAGGAGGCTGGGTTTCCTATCATTTTCCTTGCCGGCTATGCGATGTCCTCTGCTTTGGCCCTTCCCGACACGGGTTACATCGCCTTCCAAGAAGTCGCCGCTAAGATACAAGAAGTTGTCAGGGAGACTACTGCCCCAGTGATTGTAGACGGCGATACTGGGTATGGAAGTCCTATGAATGTGCGAAGGACAGTGGCAGGGTGCGTATTTTAGTCACCCTTTTGACTGTTGCACAGCTCTTCTTCAAATGACGGTGTCTGACTTGAGGCGTAATAGACTGGCGGCTGCTGGTGCTGCCGGCATCATGATTGAAGACCAGACTTGGCCAAAAAGTAAGGCAGGCAGATAAGGCCAGCTATCCTCCGCGAGAACCGATTACTGACCAGTGGTGTCTAGGATGCGGCCACACAGCAGGAAAGAGCGTCGTTTCCAGGAGTGAGGCGTACGCGCGTTGGCAAGCTGCAGTCGATGCCAGGGACGAAGGCCAGGATATTTGGATTCTGGCACGAACCGACAGCCTCATTCTAGGATACGACGAGGCACTCGCAAGAGCTAGAAAGGCAATCGAGATCGGCGCGGACGCTGTTTTCGTGGAAGCCTTACCAGACCGGGAGACCATGGCACGTCTGAGGAAGGACCTGGATTTCCCGTCGCTCGCGAACATCATCTAGGGCGGCAAGACGGACAATCTCTCGGCACAAGAGCTGGGCGAGTTAGGCTACAGCGCAGTAGCTTACCCCTGGACGCTTGTCGCGGCCAAACTGAGGAGCATTCGCGAGACTTTGGAAGCGATCAAAGGGTCTTTCACCGTTGGAAAGCCTCCGACTGTCTTGTCTTATGCTGAGGTCTGCGAAGGGGTTGGCTTTAATAAATACTTCGCACTGGAAGAGCGGTATCAGTACGAAGGAAGGACTACGGGACAGAAGGGGCACCAATGGGAAGATTGATCTGTTACCGGACTGAAGCGCGCTGGATGCGGGAGATTGAGACTCATGGACGCCAGTGTCGAGCAGGCTGTCGATTGGGCACGTAGCAAAATTACTGAGCTTGAGTTCGGATACCGCTTCGTTGCATGTGAAGGAGGTAAACCAGTATTTTCCCAGGCGAAGTTTGAACGACATTTACTTGGTCGACTTGGAAGCGAAGCTGCAAACCCTTGGGGAATGCATCGTACTATGAGTCCTTCCAGTGCTTGTCTAATACATCTCGTCAAGTTCTCCGTCTTCCCTCACGCCATGAGAACTACACGTGGATGATCAAAATGCGTATAAACAAAGAATCGAGGTGAGCCAGACAATTCGCCCTGAGGCGATGCGCTGCAGATAGATCCCTGATCACTGCTTGTGCCCCAAAACGGTGTTTACTTGTCAAGACGAATCGGCCAATGGCCAATGTTACTGCTGGTTGCAATATTCCAGTAATCCAGGCTTCAGGGATGATGCCTGTAAGCTGAACACACCAATACTGGTCCGGCACCTCGTTATCCTGAAGGATCTGGTGTCCGCTAGGCCTCGAAGGAGTGGAAACTTCCCTCCAAGTGCTCAGTAGCGTCGATGCTTGAAATCCTGGCAGGATTTAAGGCGGACCTTGGCGCAAGATTGGCTTCTTATTGTCATCTCTGCCGGCTTATTGGGTTGGCTAAAGCAGGTCCCAGATTAGGACGACCGTCGTCGCTTGTGATGAAGCAATGAAGCAAATGATAGTTAATTGTAGGGTGTTGAGGAGAGAAATCTCCCCGCTATTAAACGCTTAGAAGAAGCCTATTTATAGGCTAGCGTTAATATATAGGCATATAATTTTCATACCTTTTAACACACTCCTTATTGCAAATATTATTATTTTAATAATAATAAAAGATATTTTATTTTAATAGCTAAAAATATAATTTAAATATTTTGCTATAATTTATATTAAAACTACTATATAAACATTACTTAATATTTATATATTTTACTTATATTATTTTTAGTTAATTATTTAAATGCCCCCTTAATAATATAAACCTTATACTTATTTTAATCTTAATTTTATATAAGTCTTTTTAAGGGTAAGGCAAGGTAATGTTTTTATATAAATATTAATAAAATTATATTTAAATATAATATAATAAATATTATATATTTTTTTAATTTTTTTATAAATAAAGTAATAATAAATAACGATATATTTTAATTAAGTATTAATTTTATAATTTTAAATAAGGTTTAATATTAGCTAATTATTAATATATAAAATAAATAAATATTTAATATACTTAATATTTAAATCTTTTAATATTTAAATTATTTAATAAAGATATAATAATATTAATAAATATATTATATATTTCGCTTTATAAATAGATTTTATAATAATAAATTAACGCTTTAATAATTAAGCAATTAAGCTATTATTAAGAAATTATATATATTTATTAAATGCTTTTAAATTATTTAAATTAATATTATAAAAAACATTAATATATATATTAAGTATAATAAATTAAAATAATAATATTTATTTTAAAAATTACAAGGCATAATTTAATATATATTAAATATATTAAAGCACTTTCTTTATAATATTTAAATAATAAATTATAAGCTTTATATTAAATATTAAGAGTATTATATATAAAAATGCGAAATTAAGTTTTATTTTAATAATAAGAAAATTAATGAATTTAGTAAATAATTAATATATTATTATATTTATTATAATATTATTAAGTTTCTTTTATTATAAAAATAAATTTAAATTTATAAGAGTTTATTTTTAATTATAATTAAATATATTAAAGTATTTTAAAATTTATTAAGTATATTTTTTTTAAAAAATATAAATTTTATTATTAATTTATATAATTTTTAATTTAAGCAAGTATTTATAAAAATTAAGATCTTTATATTTAAAACGTTATATAAACTTAGTATAAAATTTATTAACTTAAGAGGGATTTTTAATAATAAAAATATTATTAATATAAATAGCAATAATAATTTAATTTTTAATAAAAACGCAAAAGTTAAATATTATTTTTATTAAATATTTAATTAATTTCTTTTTAAAAATATTAAATTATTTATAGCTTAATTATTTAAATTTATATAAGGCATTAAGAAGTTTTAAAATAACTTGCTAATTATTAAATAATATTTAATATCTTTATAATAATTATATATAAATATTATATTTTAAATAACTATATAAATATATTATTTTAATATTAAATTATTAAAGCTATTAGCTTATTATAGCAATAATAGCAATAATTAATCTTAAATTATTATAATATGCTATAGGGTTATAAGTATTATTATAATTTATACTATGGATTTATATATATTTATAAGTAATAAATTAAGTTTTATAATAAATAAGCTTATTAAAAGCATTAAATTTCTTTATATATACTTAGCAAGAATTAATAATATATTAATTTACAATAATAAGTACTTTAACTTATATATTTATATTTAAAAGTAATTTAAATTCTCTTTTAATAGCTTATTACTAAGCATTCCTTTTATTACTTTTTATAGCTTATATATATATATTAAGAATGTTATTAATATTTACTATATTAATAAATAATGCTTAAATAAAGATTTAATTAGGGTAGTTAATATTAATTAATGCTAATTAAATAAGATTTAGTATAAAGTTTATATTAATTAATGCTAAGTTATTAAAATTTTTAAAATATTTTATAATAATATTTATATTTTCTTTTGCTTTTTATAAAGGCTAAATCCATCATTCTTAAAAACTATATAACTATATGGGTTTCGCGGATTTAAGTAGTTTATTAATAAATTTTATAGGTTTAAGCGGTTTATTAATAGGTTTTATAGGTTTAAGCGGTTTATTTATAGGTTTATTTATAAATTCCGTATTATTAATAAGTTTTATTAGCTAAAATATTAATAATACCTTTATCTTAAGTAGCATGTTTTTATTTAATTAGCTAATTATTTATATAATCTTTATTACTAAATTAAACTAAGTAATATAGCTTAATATTACAATTATAATAACTTTTTAAAGTAATATAAATAAATAAAAAATAATTTTACCTTTAACCTTAAATTTCATAAAGTATGCCTTTTTAACCTTATTTAATAATTTCATTTTTAATTTATAAACCTTAATAAGTATATAAAGGTATATAAGGTAAAAGTATAGTTAAAATTATTTAATATTAAGCTTTTATTTATAAAGCACCTTAAATAACGTTATTTAGCATAATAAGATTAAGTATAATTTTTAATTTTATAAATATATTATATAGGAAATTACTTTAAGCTATAAGAATAAATAGTTTTTATTATAAATTATTATATAAATATTAATAATAATAATATATATAAATCTTTTAAGTATATTATTTAACTTATAATGATAAGGAAGTAATTTCTTATAAATAATTTTATATTTTTAAAATATTATAATAATTATCTTATTTATATATTTACCCTTATTATTTAAACTAAATATCTTAACTTTTATACTAAATTAAGTTTTAATTATATTTAAAAATTCCTTAATAATATTTAAAATATTATTTTTTTAAATAATAAAGTAAATTTAATAAAATTAAGTTTAATTATTTATAAATAAAATAAAGTATTAAGAATCTTTTAATAATTTTATTAAAAATTTGCTTAATAAATTAAATTAAATATACTTAAATAACTATATGGATTATTATTTTAATAATAATTATAGGCGTTTTTTAATAAACTTTATAAATTAATATAGTTTGCAATAAAAATCCATTAATTTATTTAATATAATATTTTTATTTTTATATAAATATTAAGTAATTAATTTTAATAAATTATTATAGCTAAAAACTTTATAAAATTTACTATATATTGCAAATATTATAAAGTTATTTTTTATTATTTAAATTTTAAAATTTTTATATTAAAACTTTACCTATAATATCTTGCGAAATTTATTATCTTTTAATAATAAAAAGATATTATTTCCTTATATATTTAATTAAAATCTTTTTTAAATTATAATTTAGCTAAATAAATAAGTATTACTTAATATATAATTATATAAAATATTAATAAAGATATTCTTAATAATTAATTTATTTAATAATTATAAAAAGATTTTTATAAAGTTAATATCTTTTATAATAAGTTAATTATTATTTATAATAATAATTATACTTAAATATAATTATAAAGAGCTAAAGTTTTTTATATATTTTATTATATACTTTAAAGTATTAAAATTAAAAATTTATAATATTAAAGTATTTATAATTATTAATAGCTTTATTATATATATTAAAATATTAATATATAGCGTTATTATATTTTCCTTATTATTATTGGAAATTTTAATAACTTCTTTATTTATAGCTTAATTTATAATAATTCATTTCTTACTCTTTTTTTATTTTTAATTAGCTTTATATTTAATAAGCTTTATATAATTAATATATAAATGATTAATAAATGTAAAGTTTTATATATAATATTAAGTATATTTTTTATTATTTAATATAAAGTTAATACTTATTAATATAAACTTTATAGCCTTTTTTATATTCTTTAATGCTAACTTTTTTTAAATAAAGATAAAGTAAGCTTTAAATTATTTAACCTTTATATAGAAAATAATATTTATTATTTTAAGTTTAAATTTAAAAAATATTATAAGGCTTTAATTATTTAAATTATTAATAATATTATTTATAATATTTAATAATATTATTAAAAAAAAAGCCTTTAACCTTATTACTTTTAAAAAGTAATTTTATTAACTTCCTAATTAATTATTTTAATATTAAGATTTTAATATAAAGTTTTATTTAAAGGTTTTAAAAAGTATTTAAATAGCTTTATAAATTAAAGCCATTCTTATATTATAAGTTTATTAATTAATAAAAGAAATAAATAATTAAGTTATTAATATTATAATTAAATTAATTAATTAATATTTTTTAAGCATTAAAAGATTTTCTATATAATATAATAAATATTATAAGGCTTAAATATATTAAGCTTAAAAGCATAATAAAGGCTTAATTATTAAGCTTTTCTTATTTTATAAAAGCTATATCCTTATTTAATTATTTCTTAATACTTATAATATATTTATTAAGGTTAATAAATTAAAAGCTATAACTTTATATTACTCTTTAATTTAAAAAGTTCTTCCCTTTTAAGTTTAACTTTAAAAGAAATAATAAGTTAAGTTTAAAGTTAAGTATATTTAATATCTTTTAAATAATATTTATATATTTTTAAATATATTTTAAATAATATTTATATATTTTTATTTATTTATAATAATTAGCATTAATTAATATAAATAAATAAATAAAAAAAAGTAAGTAATTAAAATATTAAATAAGGTAGGAGTGTTAAATTATTATAAGTTATTATTAATTATAATAGCTATTATAAGATATAATAATAATATATAGGCAAAGATTAATAATATTAAAATCTTAATAATTTAAATATAAAAATAATTATAAAAATAAGGGTATTAATATTTCCTAATATTTTAAGATATTTTAAGTAATGCTAAGCTTATAACTTAATGAAGTAATAAAGTAAATAATAGTTAATTATAAGGTGTTAAGGAGAGAAATCTCCTCGCTATTAAACGCTTAGAAGGAGCCTATTTATAGGCTAGCGCTAGCGTATGGGCATACGACCCTCGCACCTTCCAACAGCTTGGGTCAGCCTAAAACTAAGCCCTTCAGGGATAAGGACTCATTCTTGCCTTCCTGCGTTTTGAAACAAGGATGATGTTAAGCTGTCATAGACACACCTCCTGTAGGCATAAGTGGAATTAGTTTGCACGCTCCTGTGCTGTACCCGGACGGCAAACTAATCACCTTGTCCCGTGATTTAGCTGGGCTAGATACGATCATGGTGGTCCGGGATGCGAATCAAAAAATGTCTATTTGCTCCCGGTGGCTGATCCCAATTTCTTCCATCAAAACACGCCTTTCGTGTGTGTGCCACACAAGCCGTCACGTCGCTTGATCGTATGGGAAGGAAGCCTTCGAACTCGACTATGATTGAAATGACCATGTCCCTGCACGTGAATAAATAGGCATCCTTTAGTCGGTCTTCTAGGACGTGGCGCGATGCTAGAGAACCCGCAGAAAGGAAGTACCCTGAAACGAACGGGCTAGGCTGCAAGGAGACGAGTTGCATCACTTGAGCACATCACCCCACGCGTCGGCTACGCGCAAAGCTCTCAGCTGTTCTTCTCGAGCTTAGCCCAGCTGCCGTCTATTTTCGGCAACTTATCCGTTGACCACCCTGAAGCGCTAGAGTCGTGATTCGGGTCTACACCAGCCCCGTAAGGTCGGTCTGCAAGTGGTCCAGGCCGTCGGTTTGCGATCGTGTCTGTTATTGATCCATCTGGCAACGGCCTCCTTGGATGCGGTCTATTGATTGTCTTTGACGCATCCAGATAGCTGAACGTCGATCACTAGCGTGGTCTGTAACGAATTCTGGTGCCTCCAGACATGGCAGCCAGTCTCAACGGTCCAATCCCTGGTCACAACTGGCTTGAGGATTATTCGTTCCGTGCTAGAAATACTAGGCCCACGATATCAGGATTGCCACCACGCTCCTGGAGTACTTGGGCAGGCCAATGGGCAGGCCAATGAGAAGGTCATGCTCACAAACATAGCATCATTTTCGTCGCTCCAGACCATTGAGATGCCTTGACACGTTGCTCTTACTTTGTCCCTCGAGCAGGCCCCTCGGCCAGATGCTGATGCCGTCTCTCCTCCTCTATGTTGTTCGTCTGTACACCACCTGGCTACACCTTATTTAGGCAGGATATGGTCGTCAGGATCAGGATCCGTAACAGAGCCTCTGGAGCTATCATGTCCTCGGGGAAGAATAACAACCAGTTCAGACGGCCGAGGGCCGCCACAGGCTCTCACGATGAGGGCTGGCAACCAAGATACCAGATGGTTGCTGGTGAGATACAGGATTCGAAACATAATCCTCGACTCATCGCGGCCTTGATGGAAGATGGCCTTCCCTCCTGACGGCCGTCTTGTCGCCTCGAAAACTTGATGACAAGGACCATCATGCAGTAAAGACTGCGAAGCCTTCATAACAAAGCCTGCCAGAGAGCCGAATACAAAAGGCGAGGCAGAGCTCAGCAAATCGGTGTCTCTCCTTCTATCATCATCATCAACTTGTCCGATTCTACCAACCCCCTTTCATCAAGCATAATTCCTTTTCATACTTGCCGGTCAAGATCCGCTTCGTTAAGCCCTTCAAAATCAACAACTCCAACAACTCCCATACAGCCCAAAGCAAAAATGGTATTCCGCTACAAGTGCTGCTCCTCTTGCGCCCCTACCGTCCGCCACTACCTGCGACAGGCATGGGGAAGCTCAGTGTACGAGGACAGCTACGGCTCCAGCAGCGTCTTCGAGATCAACATGCCCGGTGAGTAAGGCGCTGGGCCGGCTCATCCATTCATTATCCCCCTCCCCCCCCCCCCCCACCCCTCAACAGGGTTGGACCACCCAACACCATGAAGATTTCCAGATCACCAGGCTAACTCTTTGATACTTCCAGACCCGGGAACGGCTGATCAGAACTCCCTTATCCGCATGTGTTTCAGGGCGGCGAGGAATAACGTCGCGCCGCACAGAATCCTCCGCCTGAGCAGCTCCTCGTCCCGTGGCAACTACAGGTGCAAGTACGCTTAGATTTGGCTGTACAGCATTAGTGGCTGTATGAGTGAAGGTGACTACATTTGGATTTGGTGTTGGGGATAGAAGTCAGGTCCCCGGTGGTACAAGATCGTGTTTGGGCATGTTCCCGCTGGTTTGGGCTGTCGGGCGTGTGGGGCAAAGAATGGTCTCGCTGGCGAGATCTGACGTGGTTATAGAAGCAGTCTTTCGTTGGAAGCGCTATACTTCGGTATCTCTCACACTCGCTTAATGTAAACCTTTGTTACAATCATATCATTTGGACTTGCCGTCACACGGAACACCCCGAAATGCTCCGGATTGCACCTTGAGGTGCCAGGTGGAGAGTCTCACCCAAGACTTGGTCTCGAATTGCCTAGGAAGTTAGTTCAAGTTGAGTAGAAACGAATTATGCGCAGCTTAATTCGCATTTGGCCTGAACGAAATAAGGGAATTCCTTTTCACACCCGCTCGCTATACCAATTGGCAATCTACCTAAATCTTTGTTGCGCTTTAAATCCTTGATAGCGTCCCATTCAACCCTCTCGTGAAACGCAAAACCAGATTACTCGTCCAGCAGTCCCAGCTTTTCTTCATCCCTAATGACAGTGGATTTCCTTAGCATCCTCCTCGTCCCGTGAAGCCTTCGCCTTTCTTCCTCGTCCTCAGTCCTTTCACCATCTCCAAATACCGGCTTGAAGACCCTATCATAACCAAGCCACACCGCATGGAAAAGGGTCTCCATGAACAGCCCCAACCACAGCGGGATCTTTCCCCTGTCATCAGCCAACCACTTGCTCAGCCCGAGGAACAGCCCCATGATAGGCATGGCCAGGCCGAGAAAGAGATACTGCCCGATGGTCTGCCGCCTGGACGTGATCGTGTACGGCTGCAGCTTGGCCAGCCACTCTTGGTACTCGTCAGGCAGCCCGTGCTCCGCCGCGCCGTCGGTGATCAGCTTCAGGTACCGCGCGGAGGGCTGCGCGTACTCCGGGTCGGGCCGGATGGGCCGCAGCAGCATGTCCTGCCACCAGTCCTTGAGCCTGTCGAGCGGGCTCTTGTCGTCTCCATCATCCCCATCACCACCATCATCTCCGTCTCTGGCTCTTTTTACAGGCTTATCGTCACCACCGCCGTCATCACCATCGCCGTCATCCGGCTTCTTCGGTATCCGGGGCGCGTAGAGCGTGTGCGCGAAGAAGGGCTTCGGAAGCTCCGGGGTGGGCGGGTCCTCCGGGATCCCGACCCTGTTCGGGATGCCGATGCACGGCACCAGAATATCCTGATATGCGGAGCCGCCGCCTTCGGTCTTGATGATCTCCGCGTAGTCCTCGGGTGTGACCTCGTAGACCACGCCGATAAGGCCCTTGTCCCAACTCCGGATCACCGTATGCATTCTTGCGCACGTCTTGATGCACCCCGCGGGAGATCGGAGTCGTGCTCTGGTCCCTGCGAGACATCTCCTCGGCCTCCTCGGACTTTGGAGGGAACGTGTACGGCGGCGGATGAGGAAGGTCAGGCACCTTCCCCGGCGGATCCGGGATCGGCGGGTGCTTCGGCACCTTTCTCAGAGCTGTGTTCGCGAAGCATGGCTCCTTGTAGGGGATGCCAGGAAGATCAAACGTCAGCCGTAGAGACGGGGCGGAAACGTTGATCGCGGAAACAGGACGGATTCCGCGCTGGCCGAGGAAGGTCTGGGCGCAGAGATTCGAACCGTATGCGAGGTAGAGGACTGTTGGTACGGAGGCAGTATGGTCGCAGAGATAGTCGTTCGCTGATGGCGACGATGATGGGATGTGATCGGCGGGGGACTTCTTGGGTGTTGCCCGCTGGAGCCGATCTGGGGATGTCCGGGGGATGCTCGAGACGGGTGGATAGTCTTGGGTGGGGACTTGGGACTTGAATTCGAGATTCCAGACACGGTCGAGCGTTGCCTTGACGCAACTGCTCCTCGGTATTGATGAGGTCTGATCCATCTCGACAGCTTTGCTGTGTTTGTTCGTGAGTGAGGAAGCTGACGAGGCGAATGTTTCAAAGGATCGAGGTAGATAAGAGGTCCTTGTCAGCTGCCCGCGTCCCAGGAGCTTGGGCCCGAATGATGATGCATGCTTGCAGATCAGTGGGGGCAATGCCAAGACAGGTCCCCTGTAACGGTCTGGGCTTTTTGCTGACGGACAGCTTTGTTGTGGGAACGTACCCTTCATATGGGCCAAATGCTGTGGAAGCTTGAGTATTGCATGCAGGGAATTTCAGTTATAGAAGTATCTGCGATGTTGCTATGAACCCTCTGTGTCTCTGTGGAGGTCCTTATTTTCCACTCACTGTCCACTGTCCACTTTAACATCAAGGATTGGCTGTGCTTCTTGAGGGAATGCATGACCACCGAAAGTCTTTGCGACCTCTCACGACTCGTCCTCCACCGGCGCCTTCTTCCGTATGTTCACCCAGCCCGTTCCCCACGCCGCGGTAAAAGACACGACGGCGAGCGCCGTCAGCAGATAGAACACGGCGTTGACGCTGTCTGAGAATGCGAGCAACAGCCCGTCGAGCTCCGGACTCCCGGGCGGCAGCAGGGCCCGCACGGCCTCCGCGCCTCCGCCCACCGCGAGCGCCGCCTCGGGGCTCACCGACGGTGCCAAAACCGAGACTTGCCGCGTCAGGGTCTTTGTGAAGACCACGTTGCCTACGATGGTGAAGATGGCCGCCACCAGGTTCTCGACAAATACCATGAATGCGATCACGGACGGGCTCTGGGCTGGTGTGACGGCATTTTGCACCGCAATAATACACTATTCCTATCAGCAAAAGTCGATGTAGCAGGCGCAAATTGCACTCCGAGATGGAGGGCTGCCAAGTCGGGGAGAGAGACTCACCATTTGCAGTCCCATCCCGCGTAAACCGAAAAGTATTTGGTGTCCGATCCAATCTGCTGTGGACGTATCTGGACTCCAGGTCGATATGAGACCGCAGGCGACGGCAGTTGTTGCTCCTGCAAGAATGCTGAACGGGATATAGTAACCAAGCCTTCTCACTAAATACATCCTAGTCAGCTTTGGAGGTTTCCCCCTTGTTCGACTGTGAGATCATAGATTCTGCTATGTGGCTTTCCAAATCAAGGGAATAGACGCAATCGACTTACCAAGAGCACCAGTGGCAACTAGAGTCAGCAACTGCGTCAGGATTGAGGGCAGTGTGTAGACGCCGCTCAGCGAGGGACCGACACCCCTGACAGCCTGGAAGTAGATGGGAACGTAGTTCACCCCGACAAAGTTGTTGACGAACAGCGACGTGGTTTGTATGGTGCTCGCCCAGATGACCCGTCTCTTCACTACGTGAAATGGTATGAGGGCCCTCTCACCGCCAACATGCCATTCCCAGAGGCAGAACAAGATCAACATCGCGCCAGAGCCGGCGAACAAGCCGATGACGATGGGAGAGCTCCAACCGTACTCAGACGACCCCCACTCCAGCGCTAGGAGAAACATGACAGTGGTCGGGGCGAACAACGCAAAGCCTGTAAGGTCGAGGTTTGGGACGATGTTGCGGAGCAGCTCGAACGAGAAGGGTGGCTTGAGCGTCTCGTCTGGGACGTGCGTGAAAAACAGCAGCAGGAAGGAGACCGCGCCGATGGGGAGATTGATGTAGAAGCCTGCAACTTGTGAGCCGAGAAATGGGAAGTGCACCGAAAGGCTACAGTCAAGGTAAATACTGACACCATCGCCAGCTCACGTATTGTGTCGAGGCGCCACCGATCAGCGGCCCGACAACTATACCCGTCTGGCACACTTGGGTACATGGTCAGCTCACAGTTCTAAGTAGATTCGATTGGATTCACTCACCTGCAAATACTATACCGTTGTAGACTGTTTATGACGATTAAAGATTAGTTTCGAAATTGTACGAACGGTGATTCCATAAGGAGGTGGCGAAAGCTCAGCTATGTCGTCCGCAACTTACAAGGCCGTTTTTGCAAAGGCACCGCTCCTGCGATGAGGGTCAGGGCCCCATTCTCCAAGCCCGAGCTTCCCAGGCCAGCGACGGTACGACCGAGAATGAAGAACATGGATGAGGTTGAGACAGCGCAAAGCAAGGAGCCGATCTCAAAAATCATTGAGAAGAATAGAAACGTGTGCTTCGCGCTGAGGTAGGTGTAGAGTTTTCCGGTAAGAGGTTGCAAAGCTGCGCTGGTGTCGGGATTGGATCAGTCTCAGTTCAGCAGTAAGAGAGAGCCCACTCATTGTGGTTCTCATTGCATTTTGAATCAAAAGGGAAGACCTACTTCGAAAGCACATAGGCGCTTCCGTACCATCCGATACTGTTTGATGTCCATGTTAGCAGTCCATCTCTTTCTGATTACACTGTTTGAGAAACCCCGAGTCAACAATCAGGCATCGAGCGGCCTCCTAGCTCCCGACGACGATACAAAATGGGGACTGCAGGAGAAGGGGCTCTTGTTGAAAATACACACTCTTGCAGCCTTTGAAAATCAGTCGTGATGTACGGGATAGCCTGAAGCAAGAGACCGAGGAGGTAGAAAGGTCATCAGCCGTCTGGCTAGGACCTAAGGTACAATCGTATCCGTCGTCTGGGGTAACGATAAAGGACACTGGAAGCTGAGTGATTCCAGAGGCTATTTTGACTCACCGTGGCGGTTATGCTGAAATCTAAGAGGACGAGGAAGAAGACACAGACAATGCCAAAGAGGGCGGCGTAGAGCTTATATCCTGTGATATACTCGTTGTCTTCATCGCCGAAGTGATTCCGCGAGGCAGGATTCGCAGCGGGTTCTGTTGCGTCTGGGGCGGTCTTCGAAGCGGTCGTCCGCAGGATTCCCTCTTGAACACGGTTGTGCGGCTGCACAGCTTTCTCTGGGTCTGGGCCCCCCTTGTCTGGTGAAGTCATGGTTATCTCTGCTGCACCCTCTGCCTCTTCAGCTTGACTTGGCTGTATCTTGTCACGAGGTGAAGTCGGCGGTGACGAAGATCGTGCATCTCCTTGCTTTGAGTGCCGCGCTGATTCTCTTGTCATCTTTTTCGGATGTGATTGCCGTCATTCTCCGCACACAGGTGTTGCAAATTCTGTGGTGAGCTGGTCAGTCAGGCAATCATTGGCTGTATTGCAACTAGCGTGGACAAGAGAATGGAAGACGCCAGATGGCCCGCAATCTAAGGTATAAATAACTGTCTGAGGGGTCTGTGGCTAGAGGCTCAAGTGAATGCCACCATTCGCAAGACCTCAAAACCGTCTCATGAGGGAAACAAACAAACAGGTTCACAGGTCGGACGGCGGTGACCAGGGTCCCGGACCAGGATTACGCCGACTCCAACACACTCTGCCCTTCCCCAGGTATCGGGCGGGTACCGGCGGCTATTCAGGGGTCTCACTGCGTTGCTTCAGCAGCAAGCGAATGGCTTTCATCGTCTCGATTATTTCTGTCGTGATTATCGCTGTGAGTCACACACCTCAGCCAAGACTCCAAGGGCCTGCTCCCAATCCCTGCGTTCGGATACTAGACTGAACTTCCCTCCAGTTACTCAGAGACATGTGTGTACATTTGAGTACAGTAGGGGATAATAATTGTACTTGCACCTACTGCCCCCGGAATCCTTTAAGCGTTCCAGGCCTGGGCACAATTACAAGATAGCGTACTCCGGTGACGTTTTCCCGCGCTGAAGCCGCCCTCTCCATGGAAGCCATGCGTCAGCTGTCTTATCGTCGGAAATGTACAAGCAATATAAGATTCTACAACTTTACAATGCCCTGCAAGTCTTGGCTTTCCACCATTTCGCAGGAGGCTGACCGGCGCCCGCTGCCTTTGCAGGAGGTTGAACAGAGCCTGCAGCCTTTGCAGGAGGCTGACCGGAACTTGCAGTCTTTGCAGGCTTGCTGGACCCGGCGCCGTCGGCGGATTTATCGGACCCGGTGGCGTGGTTAGATCCTCCCATATTTGTGCTTTAAATTTTCTGTGTATGGGGTAGTATTCTATGTCAGGTGTACGATAATAATTCCGCTGGCTGAGCTTCGAGAAGAGGTTTACAGACAAAACGAGATCAGAAGCAAATTATTCGGTGGTGCAAAGTAGAGGCAAAGACTGATGATGGGAAGTTTTGAGGTGTTGGAGATTTAATGTTTCAATTTTGTTTTCTGTGTACGGGCAATTTGAGATGTAGATGAGCGGACTGTCGCTTTAATAACAATCATCTTGTTCACGATGGAGCCCGGGCATCACTTCGTCCACGCACTGGACACAGTTGGAATCGCTCCACATTCACCAGGCCTTATTGACAGGCGAGTATTTTTATACAGGCCGCATGAGGCCGCTGGAAAGAAGGCCCAAACATGGTCCGCACCTAACATCTCGATAATGTCTCCAAATAGATCCGAGTTCGCTCAGCGGAGGGCGGGAGGAAATTAGACGTGACGCCCGGGCACTCTCCGAAAGGTGGTCGAGTGGTCAAAGACCTGCTCACGGTCAAAGACGACTAAGCTACGTAGTATAGTAGCCTATACATAGAATATGAAGTTGCCTCAGGATTTTCGCTAACCCATGAGGTAGGCTATCTTCGAACCAACATGCCGTATGAGTGGGGAACGGACCCATCTCGTTGCTATCGCCATGTGTGGACTCGCATCGACGCCCCATAGTGGAGTCCTGAGATATTTATATCACATTGAACTGATTGATTTCAAAGTGACGAGGTTTCTCCCAGGATATGAATTCCAGAGGAAGAGGAGATATGATATTCGAGATACACTGTGAATTGACTGTCTGAAGTACAAGGTCTACGGAGACATGGTTGGACACCAGATAATTGAATTGTAGCAGAAAGTGGAATATGTCCTGCGAATTGATGCAGGTCACCGCTACAGTGGAACAGAGGGGTACTTCTGTCACCAGAACCCTCGAATGTATTGAACAGAGAGGCAACGCAATATTGTGGACCCAGCGTGGCTTCTTGGGGGGGCATTATAACGTAAGCGTCCTGGGCTGCTACAAGAGAAACCAAGCGACTTTCTTTCATCCGTGATCAGCTTCTGGAGCTTTCCCGACCTGCTTCCTCAAGAGAAGCCCACACCACTTCACATTTCTCAAACTCGAAATCAAGGTCACTCAATCACGTTGCAGAAATGCCTTTGCCACAGTCGCAATCAACCCCTGGCTATCATGACTGGGAATCGGACTCCGATTGCGAGTACACAACGATTCCACCACCCTCTTTTATCGAAAGATCGCGCGTCGACGACGTTCTGGACCAGCCACATCAGACCCTGTTCAGCCGAGCGATTCGCAATGTTCTTCACTCGAAAGCTGCAGAGATGGCATTCGCCCAGCTCGCAGACGGACTGCCCTTGAAGAAAATCGCCCATTCCACGAGAGGAGTCCTGTTCCACAATGTCGTTGATGAACACGAGACACTATGCCCAGGCGCGCTAGACCGAGCAAAGAAATTGCGTGACGACTTGGACCCTGCCAGTCTTGATCTGCCCATCGCGGTTTTGCAACGATACCAGGGCATACCAGCTGGCTCACGGGCATACCAGCTGGCTCACGGGCGTCGAAGCTGCCCTTTGTCGAGTTGATCGCCGTCGCCATCCACCGGATTGCCGTCCTCCTCTACAAGCAGGGCAGCATGCACAAGGAAACCGGGCTCCCAGTCGAGGAGGATCGTCTCTGTTCTAACAGGGCAGATGGGCCTAATCGTCACTACCACCCACCGCCATTCTGCCTGCACGAATACGCCGACCCGGGACGGTACCCGGAGGGCGTAGCCGACATCACCGGGTATTGGGCCGAGAACTGGATTTTTGGCGGTGTCGTGGTCTTCAGCCGAGGCGGGAGTGGAGTCGAGGTGAGTTGAGCTTTCCGTGCGCCTCGGGCCCCCGAGATTTCCATTCATGGCTGGCTGACCAACAACAATAGTGCAAGGATGTGTGGTTGCACTCTTTCAGAAACAACACAACCCGTCGTGTGTGGGCTGTGTCGGATGATCAATTGGCGAAACTCTTGAGCTTCCTTGAGTCAGAGGAGCAAGACACATCAGATTGTCCGCTCCCACTTGTGCTGGAAAAGACCAACAAGCGACGAATGGACTCTGATAATTGCATCCCCGAGCACAATATCTACCGGGATCGATGGGAGCGCAAGATGAGGTTTGCTACTCGCAGTAACTGGGAGTTCGCGCAAAGTGGCATGTGTGTCGACGAGGAGATTCATTATCCCTACAGTGATGATAACGAGGACCTTTTCTGAGACGAACGAATTGCTGTTGTGCTTGGTACATCATAGTAGGGATCAACGACCACTGAAAGAAATGGGTTCCCATTGGGAGCTGGAAGCCAAATCATAGCGGCCCTACAAATCATTACATCGAGATAGCGGACAGAATGATCAATAGTTGCGCTATTATTGTTTCTTCTTGCACATACGTATGTACTCCTAGATGATATGCCCCCCCGGCCGCCCCCGGGAAACACTCAGATCCAGCCTAGCAAACTGCTCTCAAACCCAGTCCCACCCACTCAGCACTGGCCGCCAGTAGCATCCGCAATCACAGCCTCGCCAGCCTTCTGCCCAACCATGAACGTCGCCACAGCAGGGAAGATGCCGGGGATCTTGGGGAACACGCTAGCATCAGCAACCCTCAGCCCGCTGACGCCCCTGACCCTAAACTTGGAGTCAAGCACGGCGTTCGCGTCTCCCTCGGCCCCGATGGCCGCCGTGCTGGTGCAGTGGTGCCCAAACGTCTGCCCCTCGATCCAGTCCTCGTCCGCCTGGCCACAGCTCCCGTCCGCGTCCTGGGCGTTGGGGCAGGGCGGCTCGATGGTCGAGATGGGCCCCACGGGCGCCGCGGTCGCATTGTGGACGCGCCGGGCCCACGCGACAAAGTCCTTGACGGCGCCCATGTCCGTCTCGCGGCCCTGCGTGTACAGGCGGAAGTTGATCTCGGGCGGGTCCCTGGGGTCGGTGCTGGTGATCTTGACGCTCCCGGCGCGGTTGGCGACGTGCTGCTTGACCATGCTCATGCTTAGGGTGCCGGCTGCGTCCTGCGGGCCGGGGCGGTTGCTCAGGCGCGTGGAGGGTGGCCAGAAGCCGCGGAAGGGGCCGCCGTGCATCATCCAGAGGTCGCGCTCGCCGGTCACCGAGTGGTTGGTCTTGATGAAGGTGTAGCCTGCGCCGGACCCCTGACCATTCTTGGAGACCCCGACAACGGGCATTTCCTGATTGTCCTGCAGGTTCGCGCCGACGCCGGGAGAGTCGACGAGCACGGGGATCTTGAGCGAGTCGAGCAGCGAGGCTGGCCCAATGCCGGAGAGTTGCAAGAGCTGTGGGGTGTTGAACGTCCCGCCCGCCACGATGACCTCCTTGCGGGCGCGCGCGGTAGCCTTGGTCCCGGCAGCGCCGCTGTTCCGCGGGTCAGCCTTGTAGACGGACTGACCGGTGAGATACTCCACCCCCGTCGCCTTGGGAACGCCGCCGCAGCTGGTGGAATTGGTGTCGAAGAGGATCTTGGTAGCCAGGGCGTTTGTGCGGAGCGTCAGAGGCCACTGTTTGTTGTTCAAGGTTTCTTGTACACGAGTGCGAGAGCTGAAGCGTTGGCCCTGGCCGTTCTGGTGCATCGCAAGCCCCCAGATCCCAACTTGCGTGTCACGGTCGGCGGCAAGGAAGTTCGGGTCGGCATTGATCATGGTCTGCACCTGGCTTGCGTCTTTTCCGAGTGCGGCTGCTTCTGCACGCGATAGTGCCAGGTCCTGGGCAAAGCCAGCCTGCATGTTGGTCTGGAACCAGCCGTCGAAGCCATGGCCTGCTGTTCCCTTGGTGAGGTAGTTGTTCTTCTCGATATTCTGGAAGAGGGTCCTCATGGAGGAGCCACTGCAAGTGGATCATGTGTAAGTATGTCGAACGCGGGCATGAAATCAGAGAAGGCACGTTCTGTCCTGCTTACCTCCATGAAGTATCCCCAGTCAAGTTGGCAATGTAGTTCCAGTCGCTGTCAGGAGGCAGGTAGGTCACCATCGCGTTGATCATGGACGAGCCGCCGACAGTAGCACCGCGAGGGTAGTAGACACCGAGCAGTTTCGCGCCCGATGGCTGGCCTGTGTTCCCGACCCAGTACTGCCCAGCCGTCGTTTTCCAGGTGAGGAACCTGAATTTCATCGTCTTGGCCTCCTCTTCGTGGTGCTTCACGAAGAAGTCCCATGTTGATGATGCCGGGTAGTTGCCAAAGGGTTCTTCTGCCGCATTGTCGCCAGCCTCGAGCAGGAGAACGGAATAGCCAGCCCTGGCCACATTGGAGGCGACGGTTCCTCCTCCAGGTCCAGAGCCTATGACGATGTAGTCATATTCATCGCCGGCTTGACGAGTGCTGAGAGCATCTGAGACGGCCCCCAGGCCCAGAAGAAGTGCAACAGTGCGAAACAACATACCGAGGATGGCTTTAGAGTAGGATCCTGAAATTCCAAACCGTTGAACTTCAGTTTTCAGTGGACGGGTAGAGCGGACATTACTCTTCTATACTCGATCTATCTTCCTCCAGTACTACCGCACCACTGACCCCGCCCGCATGCGAGTATCTGGTTTTCCTGCACGCTTTAGGAAGTTCGTCGGTACAATTCCCTAGAATGTGAAACAGCAGCTCTTGGCCCAAATTACAGCATTCGACATGCTCGCTATTGGCGGACCTGACCATCCGGGGCCTCCACTCGCGGTGGCGCTCCGATGCGGCATACCTCGTGGGAACCCACATTGCTGCGCCCAGCGGTCTTCCGATAATGACAGATCAATTCCCCAAAGTAATCACGCGCCCACAGAATGAGCGCAAATGTCCCGCAGTCTGTCGTAGGGCCGAACAATTGCCGACACAATTCATATCTTGCCGGGTAATCTCGTCTTGGCGACCCGTACAATTCACTGTAGTATCATTCGACCTACCCAATAGAGCACCTGGGCCGAAGAAGTTTCAAGAGGGGTAGCATCGACATTGTTCCTGGATTTCAAAGGCTAGCCCAATACAGCTGGTAGATTGTTTATACCGTTTCACTGAAGTACATGGTAGTACTATATCTGTTGTTGTGCACCTTTAGGCGCAAGTCTTGTGGACTCCCTGGGAAGCTGTTTGAAAGACCGAAACCTGGTTCAGCAATGAAATCCGACCACCTTATAAGAGGTCGGTCGATATTGAAATTAAGCCCGGCTTTGAATATGTGCACACGGGCATCACGCCTGAACGAGAAGTGTCCTCGCTCACTTATCCTGAATCATCCGATGAAACATGCAGTGGTCAGCATGGAGAAGTGGTATGTACTGCTGCCACGATTGAGTGGTGTTATTTGGTGCCTATTGGAGAGATGAGGGAGGCCTGGGTATGCTGCAAGATGGATGCGCAATGGATGATTTCTTCCTGATTGATTTTCTATCATAAAATCATAAATCAAAACTCACGTAAATTTACAGAAAACGCGGCAGGGAGATCAGGTCATAATTGAGCTACGAAGCCTGGATTATCAGTGAAGCCACTCATAATTCGCTGGCAAGCTGACCTACCGACCCATAACTGCTACATTGTGCTTGAGTCCTTGAGAATGCTTCGGAGCTACATTGCACATCGCTGTATTCTTTTGTACGAGAAATTCAAGGGATGGTTCATTGTAGTTGGGTTCTGGATGTTGTGACACTTCGTATATTTATATCAACGGGATGTCCCGCAAGTCGTCACCCTCGGCCCGCCACTTCTGGCCTAGCAAGTCACAACTCTAACTCTAGAGATTATATTGTTGTAAGAGTAATGGCCTGCCATATATATTCCTTATAGCGAATAGAACTCAGGGTATACAATGGCTGCATCTGAGCTCAAAACGTAGTTTTCTTCCATAAGGAACTATAGTTCTACGACTTGACGCTCATGTAATGGCGCCAGGCTAACCCTCGAGTCAGAAGTGATTTCTCTAATCTACTCTTCTCCGTGCATCTAAATATTCCCCTTGGCATGACTCCGCTCCTTCAAACTCCGCTCGGCCGACACGATAATGTTGACGTGACTGCTAAGCGCCACTACGTTCTGGTGCTGGTCCAAGATGATGACCTCCAAATCTAGCCTACCGTTCTGGATCACCTTGGCCGAGGACCGGACAAAGAGCCACTCGGCCCCCTCCTCCGGCAACGCCCGCTTGACGTCGAGGTTCAGCGACAGCGTCGGGTACCAAAAAGTCTCGTCGTACCGGAAGGGGCTCTGCTCCTCGTCGCGGCGGGGCCTCCACCCTTCGACGACCATGGGATAGGCGTCCGCGACGTAACCAAGGTCGTGGGTCGTGAACCTCTGGCCCGTCCCTTTGAGGCGCAGCCACAGGTCCACCATGCCGCGCCGTGGGGTGCCTGTGCCCTCGCGCGGGACGTAGTGCTCGAGGTTGTTGTGGGTGCGGACGAACGAGGTGAAGCGCGCGCCGAGGGGAGCCATCCTCCGGACCCAGTGGGGGTCGCGGTCCAGCGCGAGGAGGCCAAAGTCGCTCACGGGCCTGGGCGGGGGCGTCGCGGACCACCCGCTGGCGAGCGTGAGGCCCTTCTCGAAGCTGAGGCGGGTGTTGGTGACGTAGGCGAGCACGTTCCTGCACGAGCGGGCGGTGAACCACGGGGCCGCCGCCAGCTGGACATCGTGCTGGTGGAGGGTGACGTGTACCGTGGACATGGTCTGGCCGAGCTTCACCTCGTCGATGACGAGGACCGCGGGGCCGATTTCCGTGCGTTTCACGTATTCGAAGTGGGCGGAGATGGTGTCTGGCTGCCCACGCTCTGCGAGGTGGAGCGACACCGCGCGCAGGATCACGGAGGCGACATAACCGCCGTTGGGGACTGTGCCAGCTCTGGGTTAACTCGGGTTCGCAACTTGGAGACGCACGGCAATGTCATGCACCGACCTGAGCCTATGCACCAGGCTGACACTAGATTGGCACCATAGACATTGGAATCTAGTCTTGTAATCTTTGCTGCCTCGGCCAACGGTACCAGGTCTTCAGACAAGGGAGCCGCCATGTCCAAAGGGGGAGAGAGTGCTCCGGAGCGCAAGTCGCGGGTCGGATTGGGACAAGGATCAAATTGGGCCACCCGTTCTTGGACAGTCCAAGAGCGATAGGAACCGGCAGGTGGATATCCTCAGTCTCAGATGCAATCGAACACGAAGGAGCAAGACGGCATCGATTGAATCTGTGGCAAGTCTCAAGTGCATGCATCCCACGCTGCTGGAACCCGGGGAAGTTCCACCCAAGACACAGGGGTTCGGATCCTCCAAGTCCCACGAACGGCGCGGCGAGTCGGTTCCCAATAACATATCGCTGAGCTGGATGCAATATCAGTCATCCGGAAATCCCCTCTTCACATTGTCAAGGACATGATAAGCCTATCTCCCGAAGCCTGCCGGACACACAGATAACTGTCATTTATATCAACTCTAACCCGTTGACTCTTACAGTGACACTTGGCTTGACTCATCCACATCTTTCTTGCGTACACCCCCATCGAGCTGAACAATGGCCCCGAAACCCGCCCCGTTCCCGGGCTTCACAGCCCTCAACGACCAAATTTCGTCCGCGAGGCCGAAGAGCTGGCAGTAGGTGCGGAACTGTCTCCGGACCACCCCGCGGGTTGTCATTGTTTTCAGTTGGGGAGACGCACAGCAAAACACGTCGCCAAGTACACCGACGGCCAAGTACCGCAAGCTCTAACCCCGCGCCAGGCAAATTGACATTCTCTCGCCCTTCTATCAAGCCCATAACTTAACCCGCAGCGTCGCCGAGTGCTTCGTTTATCTACGGTTTAACCATAGCATAGCCACACCCCCAACTTACTCTACACTTTTTTGAGTTGTACGTGGGGCCCATTTCCTTCTCCTACAAACACATCCCTCACTCGATACTCATACTTAGCCCCGCCGGGATGGTCGACTTGTATATCAAAGCGACGGATCAGCATAGCAACCGCAACGGAAATCTCCATGTATGCAAGCTGCTTTCCGATACACCCCGTTGCGCCGGCGCTGAACGCATTGAATGCCGTGCTCGCCGCGTGATAGCTACCATCATCATTGAGCCATCGCTCTGGGCGGAAGTCGTAGGGTTCCGAGAAGTATGTCTCATTTCGATGAATCGCGTATGCTGAAACTCCTACGCTAGTTCCAGGCGGAACCCATACGCCGTCGACCTCCAGACCGTGGGTGAGAACCTCGCGAGGGAGATGTCCCGGCGTCGGAGGCGTCAGCCGTAGACTCTCGTCAACGCAAGCTCTGAGGTATGGAAGTTGCGCGAGCTGGCCGCCGGGCTCGTAGCGAACCGCTTGATCCCCACGGAAGGCATTTCGCACCTCACCCTGTAACCTCGCCAGAGTCTCAGGCCGATTCACCAGATAATGAATGGTAGCTGCTAGAGCACCTGATGTTGACTGGGATCCCGCTACCATGAGCAGCACGCTCTCACAGGCTAGATCTGCGATGCTGTATGCTTGCCCAGTCTCCGGATCGCTACCATTCAGTAGGTGGTGAAACATATCGTTATCCACCATTGTTTGGTGTGCCTGGTCTCTTCTTCTCCGCTCTTTCAGGGCGCTGAGACAATAATCGCGAAATCTCTGATTGTCCCGGTAGGATTGACCTCCGAGATAGGGTCCAAGGCGTGTCTTGAAAAGGAGGTAGCGAAGGGGGTGAGTGAGGGGGTGGTAGCCAAGCGTGTACCAGCATCTCGTGGCCTGCGGAACCAGTTTTGTGATATATCGTCCCTCTGATGATTCCAGCAATCCAAAGGACTTGGAGAAGCAAAGCTCGCCAAGGATATCAAAGATGAGGTATTCGCTCCACCTCCCAAGGTCGACTGCTCCTCCTCCGGTGCTGTTGGCTTCCTGCTCCAGCTGGCTGAGCCACGTCCCAACAGTCTTATTGATCACCGGTTCGTAGTCCTTCAGGGCTTTCTCTGAGAAGGCATATGACAGCAAACGCCTCTTGACACCGTGCCTTGCTTTATCCATGGCGGTGAATGTGCTCTCAAAGCCTCCAGCTGAGTCTCGAACACATTGGTACCAGTCCGACTTGCGGGAGTTGGCCTTGCGAGACCTGTAGATCAAATCTATCGCGGAGACGGTGTTGAAAGATAGGGAGTTGGGACTAAAACGGACGACGGGACCATATCTGGCGTGGAGATCATGAAGCCAAGTATGTCGGTCCCCTTTTGCGGCATGATACCAGTTTGGCCAGGCACTCAATCTACTTAGTATGCGTCCTGGGTGGCTTGCAAGTGGATGGAGGTACAATCGATAGATCAAGAAGGTGAGGACCTTGAGAAGCCATTCAGCAGGATTTCCAAAAGTGTTACAGTACAGTAAGGTAACAGGTTCGACAAAGAAGAGTTCCCGACTTGACTCACAGGGAGAATGACCAAGGTGAGAAGTCCAACCGGGCGAGCGTCGAGGAAGTTGGCCTTGACAAGGAAGAAGTGCATCGACAGTGAGCTCATCCTCGTCATCGGCGTCTGTCGATGACTCCGAATGCTGGGTTGTACCCTGAGATTCACTACCAAAATACTAGCAAGCGGTTTGCGTTTTGCGATTTGCGGTTAGCACGGCTCTTGCGGGTGTGAACTCGCTCCTGGCCAGTCCAGCGTGGTCCTTATCGTAACTGGGCCGCTGCTAGTACTTGGGTAAAGATTCTCCCAAGTTGACCGAAGTTTAATTCACGCTACAGCGAAACGGCCGAGAGTCTGAGGTCGTAATGCTTGAAGAGAATGAATGTCGCCGATCTACCTCGGCAACGTGTCGTCGAAGGATCGCGCTACCCAGGCTTCGTACTACGAGCAGTGGAGACATGCTCCCCGCACGGATGCCGCCTCCAGGTTGGTTTTTGTAAGGCGAAATCCTGGATGAGCTTACATCAACGTGTCAGCAGTAACAAGATATCTACTTGAAACAAGATTCCATGGAATATAAATACGCTAGAGAACACATATATACGCAATTTAAATTTTCATTATTATATAGCCTTAACAAATTAAACTATTTAAAAACGGTAATGCATTAAGAAACCCTCACTTAAGCACTTTAATTTTTTCTTATTAAATTAAAAAATATATAATCATATGCATCATTTTAATAATTAATTATAATATCTAAGATATAATATTTAGGTTTATTATAACAAATACTATAGAGACATTACTATTAGTTAGGTGCCAGTGGTACTTTAAAGTGACCTAGTATGTAATTTAGAATATATGAGACATTAGAGAGTCGGGTAATTGCCCACTTTAAAAGCAAGACCGAAATTTAATCTCCAACACGCGTAACTTTCTTTCAAGAATAATCTCCACGCAGAAAGTCTAACAATTCTCTCAACTAACAATCCCAGCTACGCCCTCACCGCCAGCCACTGAACGCCAATGGCGCCAATCCCACCACCTTCCAACTTGCCGCCAGGCACCACAACAGAACCAATCACAGCCCACCGCCTGACGTCGTACACGACCACGCCCATTGCAACCGTGATCCAGCGCTTCCGCACCCTCGTCCCCCAGGTCGACCTGAGGAATCTCAGGTCGCAAACGAGCGCCGAGGGGATCAGGAACGTCATCGAGTCCACACTCCAACAATCGGATGCACATTTTGCCGAGTATCAAAAACAATTCGTCTTGTTTTACGAATTGAATCATTCGCACTGGATCCGCCACTTCAACACCGAACCCAACGCGTCCACCTTGTTATCCCACACTGTTGGAGAGTTATCAAAATACCCCTCGGCCGAAAATGTGCTGCATCGGGGACGCGGTCTTATACGTTTTATCTTCGGGAACCCGCTGATCGCCGCCGATATCCTGAGAGAAGACGTCGAGGCGGGCCTCCACGTCCCGGTTGAGTGTATGTTTGTTGAGACGGGAGAGAACAACGTTAGGGGGACGAAGATGGTTGTGATGATGCCGGGGGGCCTGATCGACAGAGACAGGAATGAAGAGACAAGTGGAACGGAAGGGGAGACATTGAGGCTGAAAGTGGCTGAGTTGGAGGCCAAGATATTGAAGTTAGTTGAAGAGCTTATGAAATAGCGGTGACGTTTCAATACAGGAGTTTTAGGGGTTGCGAATTCTCGGTGACGCCCAAGTCGGACTTGATTTGTCTCGCCCAGGATTTGAGGATATTAAATTTGAGTTTGTACATCAGAATGCTGGTGGTGTTCATTGGCACTCCATGATTCAACTACTGTACCTGTGGCTAAAAGCATATGCGGCAGACCGCATCCAATCATATGGCCTCCGTCTTGTCCACGTCACCTTGACTAAACAGCCTCGCCTCTCGTTGCTTATATTCGGGTCCTGGACTGATCCCCTTTCTGTACCACAACGCCCCATTCTTGGCTTCCTCCTCCTCTCCAAGCTCCCCTTCGCTCCTCAGCCCAAGGCTCACATCCTTTTCCCTGTCCGTCTCCACCCACTGACAGTATGAGAAAGCCACCTTCAAATCATCATATCCAAACGTGCCTTTCCCATGGTAATGATTACCTAGTAGCGGAATAATAGCTTTGCTGGCGATCGGTGAATAGTAATGCGGGATCTTGGAAAAGAGATGGTGCGTGACATGATCGCTGCTGATGTGGTGGAAGAAATGGGTGCCAATGAAACCGAAGTCTCTGTCTATTGTTGCTGTGGCACCGCGGATAAATGTCCAGGAATCACTGGTGTACTTTGGTACTGAGGGGTGGGTGTGATGCAAATAGGTGATCATAACGATCCAATGGTTCACCCACGTCCACGGAACTATGTAGATCCAGAACACGGTCTCGAAGGAGCCGAGGCGCAGATAGAGGTAATAGAGTCCAGTAATGGTGGCAAGACAGCCAATGTCGCTCAAAATAATGGAGAGGACTTCAGAAGACCGGAAAAGGGCGCCCCACGGGTCGAAGTGCGAGTGGCGCCAGACGCTCATATTCTTCTTTATCACGGCGGAAGGAGGGCAAGTGATGTTTGAAAGGATGTACCAGTTCCAGCCAATCAGTTGCTGTAGCAAGATCCTCAGAAACAACACCACCGGGGCATCCTCACCCACTTCATCGAGAAACTCTACCGCGACCCCGATCTTACGGGCATATTCTTTGCGTCGCGGAGGAACGTAGTTGAGATCCTTGTCGATGTGGTTGGCGTAAATGTGATGTCGGCGATGCGTCGACTTCCAGGAGAAGTAGGGTGCAAGAAGGAATGAATGCAGGATGAAGCCGACTGCGTCGTTGAGAGTGGATGAGTTGCTGAAACCGGAGTGGCCAGCATCATGGGCCAAGACCCAGAGACCTGTCCAGACTATGCCTTGACAGAAACCATAGATGTTGACGACAAGATAGTAGAGGGGAGTGGATGAAACGACCGCGTGAATGTTTAGAAGTTTGTGAAGGGTGACGAGGAGGATGGCCGAATAAGTTAGGTCCCGTATCAGATAGAAGAAGGACCAGAAAAGGTTCGGGTTGAAGCAATAGTCGGGTATCGCATCACGAAGCTCTCGGATGCCCGCCTTTTTGCTGACATGCTGTACCAGGCTTTCAGTCCACAGTACGTAACTCCAACAGGTTAATCATTACTTACGCCTCCTTCAACCAGCTGTGATGGGTGAGGTTCATACTTCGTTTGAAATCCCGTTCTCTCTGTCTCCATCGCGGCTAGTGGTAGGTTCGTACTAATATGGAAAGCCTATGGAAAGCCTTACAAAAGAGTAATTGTCAAAGATTTAGAGAAAGTCGTCACCGTTATGAGCGATTGCTTGTTTTATAATTGACTAGGCATTGCATAAGCCCACGGAGTGTGTAACGTGCCCGGCCCAGATCTCGGCCCACACCCGCTCTCAGCCACCCTCCTCCACAGACATCACGTGTATAAAGACCTTAATGTCGTCACTACTACTTCAAATAATATAATTTATAGTTTTATTGCTAAATTCCTTATCTTTTGTTTTATAATTATCATTATTAAATATTATTTTATCCGTGATTTAAATTCTATTAAAAATAATTATAATTATTAATTTAAAAGATTATGTCTTAATCTTTACATAATAATTCTTACATTAATATCTTTTTATGAAGAAATAATTCAGTTTATTCAGAGCCTGAAGAGGAATAAATATAGTTATGAATGGGGGTGTGAGATGGTATAGAACAGGGGTGGGACAAGATCTGCGCCGGGCATGTAAACTAGTTGCTAACTAGGTAACGGTCACAGAGGGATTACTGCTTCTGGCGCGAAGGATTTCCGAAGGATTCCCGAAGGAGTGGTCGTCCGAACTATCGCACGCGGGTTGTGTCTACACCGCCGTTGTCGCTGAGTAACGGCATCAGCATCGCGAATCTGGGATCCGGGTGAATGGATAGCCGATGCGATGGCTGCTAAGCAACGTAGTGGGCAGATTCACGAGTCGAATGCCGCATCGGATAATGCGCTGGAGTTCATATTTCTGCGCGGGACCCTGACTTGTGTCAGTCAATACGCGTATTTTCTAATGCCTTCCTACCAAACCAAACCTAATACATGTCCTCCTCCAAAAGGCCAGGGGGCCTTGTACGCCTTTGATACCGCCCATCACCAGCTTTTCGACACGCACTTTCAGTTCGGGATAAGTGTTGCGCGACATCTGGATGATGAGAGTTTTGCGCTCTATTGATGAGTTCATCTCAATGTAACAAACACGGGGAATCTGTCCCTGCGTGCTGTTGAATGACGGACTTGATGGACTACCAAGGCACCCAAAGAAACAGGTGTCGAGGCCTGAGTGGATCTTTACTTCTCAATCTTTTGATAACTGCTGCCACGATCATCTATCTCGTCTGGAGAGCTTTGAAATCAAGCAAAGTCACGTTCTACCACAGCAAAAGCAGCATCGCACTCCAGGGCGATCATGAGCCGCAGAGGACCTTTGCAGACCTCTGCAAATCCATAATATCGCCATGTCATCTTAGCTCCTTCCTCTTCAACGGGCACCTCCAGACAGCCGGGAACCTGTATTCTCGCCGCTCCGCCCTAATATCATACAGACGCCACATCTTCGAACAGCAAGATGCCAGATACCCTGGAACCTTCGCTGTCGACTTTGTTGTCGAGGACCCAGAACCACAGCATCGAGATTTCACACCCAAGGAATTCCAAAGCCTCCCTTCCGTTGATTGCAACCCTCTCCTTATCATCATACACGGCCTCGCCGGCGGCTCCTCTGAACCCTACATTCTTGACCTCATCGTGTCCCTCATACGCCAGCCCAGTGGCAATTCTCTCAGAAATTGGAAAGCCTGTGTGCTCATCTCCCGCGGCTGCTCCGGCCACAAGCTCACCAGCGACCTCTTCTACTCCCCCGCATCAACACATGACCTTGGCCAGTTCATGTCCTGGCTCTCCCGCACATTTCCCAATCGCCCCTTATACGCAATCGGTTTCTCATTAGGCGCCAACATTCTCACAAGATACCTCGGCGAACAAGGCACGTCGTGTCCCCTGCGCGCCGCGATCTCCATCTCGAATCCTTTCGACCTTCACACCGGCAATATTCTCCTACAGCGGTCTTGGATCGGTCGCCTCTACCTCCGCGTGCTTGGCTCGTCGCTTAAAACGCTGTTCCTCAAGCACGTCTCCCAACTCTCGCTCGACAAAGCCATCGACATCGATCAAGTCCATAAAGCGAGGTATCTACACGAATTCGACAAAGCAGTGCAATTGCAGATGTGGGGATACTCGACGGTCGGGTCGTATTATAGAGGTACCTCAAGCGTTGACTCTCTTCGTGATATCAGAATCCCGTACTTCGCGATTTGTTCAGAAGATGATCCGATCGCCGTTATTGATGCTGTGCCAAGGAAGGAATTTGAGGCTTCAGAGTACGCTGTGCTATGTATTACGGAGCGAGGCGGCCATATAGGCTGGTTTGAACTAGGAGGACAGAGATGGGTAGTAAGAGTTATAACAGCTTTCCTACAGGAGATGCAATTTACGTGACTATATTTATCGTTCTATTAGACTTTAACCTTTACGGTGTGCTGAGTATTACAAAAGTATTTCTTTTTCTTTTCAAGTTAATTGGTGGACTTCACTGCTAGTGTATTTGCGTTGAATCTGCAAGAAATGGATAGGAATATGGAGAGAGGGTTTAAGGTATATATTCAAGATCCGAAGGTATGTTCAGTTCCCTCCGCTACAATTCGAAAAGCAACGGAAAAATAGAAAACACTTGGTCTGCTTCACAGCCAAGGTTGTCAGCCTCCAACGAGAGGTTGACTATGTCCCCATTAGTGAGCTAAGATACCAAACAGCAGGTCTCTTGGCTCTAGTTGCGTCTGATCGCTCTGTGGCCTGTTATTACTCCTAATGTCCACGAGCTTCGGTTACCAGCAATGAAGGCCTCCGTTAAGTTGCATTTTTATTTTTTATTTTTTTTAGCTTTAGAGTAGTTGTGTTACTTATCTAGCCACCGAGCCAAAAGACTTGAACATTCTGGCCACGCTCGTCGATTGGTCCCCGGTCCTCGAACATTACATCTGCCGGCAGCAAGGGAAGGGAACTCATCAAACGGGAATCCTGAGGAATGCACACTCTCTTGGCATGGTTGACGTGGTTGGCGTGTTGGGCCTTTTGGCCTCTGCGGCCGAACGGGTCTAAAATGATTGGCACGAGCGAAATTGCAGGTGGCAAGTGTTTCTCCCAGATCCCTCTCCGCACGTAATGAAGTCGGTCAGAACATGTGGCCGGCGGTCTATCCACCTTGGAAAAGCATCAACAACAGGTTAGTCCGACCCTATCACACAAGGCTCCACCCGTTGATTGGCATATAAGCGTAGTGGGGAAAGGTCACGAGCTTTCTAAAACTTTACAACCTGGAGCGCTGTAGGTCAGCCATTATGGGCTGCTACATCGTCCAATACACCACCTTACAAGACAGCCAAGCATTTTTTAAACTTAGAAACGGCACAAAGTCCATACAAATGGATTGTCAAGGCTGCGGGGGGTGTAAAATACTTCTACGGTCGCAATCAGGAAATGCGGTCGAGCACAAGGCCAAGCCGGTTAAAATAGCCATAGAGTGCCCACTATATTTGCGGCGCTGTTCTGGATCCCGAGATCACAACGTTATGATACTTCTTGTTCGATTGACGGAGATCAAACCCCGATTTATTCTGTTTTTGTCATCGTTATTTAGTCGTTGCGATTTAAAAGAGCAATGCAAACTCTTCCGTGATGTGTCTGAGCCACCAGCAGGATTGCTGATTCCAAATCTGTCTTGCGGTCACTAGCCCACAATTTCAAACATACTATTCCAGCCACCATGTTCTTCTCATCTTTGATTGGAATTCTTGGACCATTGTTGGCGATCTGTTCACCGACATCGTCATCGCCACTGCCCCTTGACAACGACGAGCCCGATATCGTTGTCGAACGACACCTCGCTAAGCGCCAAGGCTGGTACTGGTCCAACTGGTCTGAAGGTGGCATCAACCTCCGATGCAACAACGAGAATGGCGGATCCTACTCAACTCAATGGTCAGGCACAGGCGGGTTTGTCTGCGGAAAAGGATGGAGCCGAGGCAGTGGAAGGGTCGTCACCTACACCGGGACCTACACCCCGACCGGGCCGGGGTATCTAGCCGTGTATGGGTGGACCCAAAACCCATTGATCGAGTATTACGTGATAGAGTCTCACGGCGACCTGGCCCCGAACGAGCCATGGACTTCGAAGGGAAACTTCACCTTTGAGGAGGGCACGTACGAGATCTTCCAGAGCACGCGGGTTAACAAGCCTTCTATCGAGGGGACGAGAACCTTCCAGCAGTACTGGTCTGTAAGGCAGGAGAAGCGAGTTGGAGGATCGGTGTCGATGCAACGACACTTCGACGAATGGGCAAAGGTGGGACTGAGGTTGGGAGGTCACAACTACATGATCCTTGCGACGGAAGGGTATACGGCGGCGGGAGGAAACGGGAGCAGTGGTGCATCGAGCATCACCCTCCAGTAGCTAATTGAGCCTGGGGCAACAGGTGACGATTCTTTGCACCAGTATAAGGCTATCGTACTATCGAATCTTTTCACAGCGCTTGCAATGCCAAAGGGTGGAATTGGCAGATAGGAATATTAAAACTGTGTGCTCTTTACCTAACTAGCCTGTGCAGGGGTGAACTGAATAAGCGGCCCGTCGTGGGCTGCCACAAAGTTATCTTGAATCTGGAATTCGTCCTTCCGCCGTCTTCCCACGGGTAATTCTGGGGAACCTCCACCCAGGGGTGACTCAAGCTTCAAATCAAACTGGAAGAGGACCCTGGCGGTGGTGATCATCATCTCGAGATAGCCCAAAGGCATACCAACACAAGACCTGGGCCCAGTACTAAATCCTGCAAAATTGGACTTGGCCGCATCGACGTCTTGTTTCGAGTTGTCGTCAGATGCAATCCAGCGCTCCGGCCGGTATTCGAACGGCTCAGGGTAGATGTCGGGGTTATGGTGAAGAGCGTATGCCGAGACACCAACATCGACCCCGGCGGGGATCTTGTTCCCATCAATGACCATCCCACCAGGCAGCACTTTGCGTGGAAGAATACCAGAGATCGGCGGGGTGCAGCGCATGGCCTCGTCAATGCAGGCCCGGAGGTACTGGCATGAGCTGAGAGCCGCCCCGGAGCGGATAGCTTCGACACCCTGGCTGGCAAAGGCCTCCCGCACTTCTTTCGTTACCTTGGCGAGCGCTTGGGCGTCGTGGCCGAGGTAGAAGAGCAGAGCAGCCATTGCGGTCGCGGTGGTCTCGGCGCCGCCAATGATGATCACATTTGCCTGCGCCACCAGCTCAGGAGTTCCAAACTTCTCTCCCGTCTCCTTGTCTGTGGCTTTGAGAAGATAATGATAAAAATCTTTCCGATCCCCAGCAACCTTGACGCGATCGCCGGCGTACTTGTGCGAGAATCCCCTGAACTTGACCTTGTCTTGCATCAATTTGGGAAACATCAACATGCCAAGGCCCAAGTTGTGAAATGCTCGGCCAAGGCCACTCTAAGGTTTTTCGTTAGTTTCATTCTGCACACCGGGATGTTCGAAACGTTTACCATCTGGCAATAGTGTGCAGAGTTGACGATGAGGTCGAGCACATAAGTGTTTGAAGAACCCAAAAGCATGCCTAGGCTTTGGCCGAAGGCTAATTCGCCCATGACATCAAATGATAGGTATTCGGTCCATTGGGCAACATTGACTGCCTTGGAGGTGCCAATTTTCGAGCAGAAGGTTCTGACATGTTGCAACATGTACTCCTCCATATTCCTCATAGCCTTGTCCGCGAAGGCATACGATAAGACCTTCCTTTTCTTGGCGTGGGAATCCTTGTTAGTGTCGCTGAAGACGCTGGGGTGGCCAGGTGGGGCGAAAAGTAAATAGAAGTCGGATTTCCGATTGTTTGCCTTGAATCCATAGATCGTGTGGTATGCGGTGCTTGAGTTGAAAGACAATCCATTGGGGGCAAAGCGGACGATGGGACCTGCAGACTGGTTAGAAAATAGTGGCAGGGGTGTCCTGGACTTCTCAATCTCACCGTAGCGCTCGTGGCATCTGTGGATGTCCAAGTGTCTGTCACCAATCCAGGCATGGTAAACAGAGTATAGGTTGGTAAATTTGGCCAAAAATGGGCCGGGGTAACGTGCAAGAGGGTGAAATGTAATTTGATAAACACATTTGCAAAACACCTATGGACGGGGACATTAGTGAAGTCCATTAGCGAGTGTGGACAGAACTACCCAACTTACGTATAGTGTTGGCACAATTAAAACTATCCAAGTTAACCACGAGATGCCATCTCGAACAGTGGTAGGGTAAAAAGTCTCCAAAGCCATATTGATTTGGAAAAAGAAGCCTTTTGGTATTGTGCCGTCGTTTTCGCTGTCAACAGTACAAGTTGTCCGTATGAACAAGAACAGAAATTACTGGCAGTTGTTACGTGTTGAATATAGGAGAGCTGAAAACTACGAGTTTGTCCCACGACCCCGATATTTTGTGTCAATGTCGTTCTGCCAACGAGAAAGCCCCGAAGCTGCGTCACTTGGTTACACCGATTCTCCTCACTAAAATGGCAGACGATCGTCTGAACTTTACGTATGCAATCTGACACCGGACCCCACCAATACAGTATTGATGAGGTGTTGGGGTGGTCATGGATCCCAACCACTATAATTCCTAAGCTGACGTTTGACCCGCAGCCATCACTTCCCCTCCCAACTGGTCCCCGGGCGAGGTACGTATCAGGTACATCATGATTTGAAGGGGCATGTGCTCTCAACGGCTGTAATATGCGGATGTCCCGGACAACAAAAGAACTTAATCGTGGTATGCAGAGATGAAGATCAGCCGAAAGATGGAATACTGTGTCACTATCTCGGCCCGGTTGTCAGCCACGCTAACAGGAAACAGTCAGACACGATTGACCCGAAACGGTTTCTCATCGCTTAATGAGGAAGACAGTAAATCTCACCTACTGACACACTTGGTTTCTAGTGGACGCACCAAGGCGTGACAGGTTATTCGGTCTTACGCAGAGCCTCAAGTACATCTACATACAAGCTTTCATGCCCTTGGCTGATGAGTACACAGGATTGATCGACACGCTCGATCACGTACTGTGTGTCTACTAATGCAATCATGTTTTCACATGTTGGTGCTTGGCCCAAAAATGCTCTTTTCAGACGGCTCAATAAGGCTATTCCTTGCCGATGGTCTGACGGCATGCCTCCTTGCGTTGGTCCTTCTGCAAAGATCGTCACGGATCCTTCGGAAGGCTGGCAGGAAACTGTTATCTTGTTGGTCCAGACTGGAAGTACTTGAAGTAAAGTACCTGGAATTATTTCTGCTTCGAGCTGCAACGATTTCCGCTTCGAGTGTGTTTCGGGCTTTGACTTGGACATCGTTTGCCGAATGCGCCAGTGACACCTCTCGGCGATTGCCTTTTCTGACGTCTTCAGGTTAATTCTGCACTTTGCGTAAGCTTTAGTAGTCACTTGATGAGTTTCCCGAACAAGCCAACTTTGCGTAATGATCTCCCATCTGGGCCTGCCCATTTTGTCATTTGAGGGTGTGATTACTGATCAATTTCAACATGTACAAGCCCTTTCAGTCGCATTAGTTACCAAGTACGTCACCTGGTTGTACAGCAGAATGATATCCAGATTACCCTTGTGCAAGGCACGCTAGAAAGACTCAATGTAGATCAACCCCGAGAATCTCAAGATAGCCAACCGGTCCCCCGGGGATGGAAGTGGAATAACCTGCCGTGTCCTACTTCCCATACGGAGTTTGAACTGGTTTCTATGTGCTGACCTGCTTTCCCACTTCATTCAAGTTCCACTCCATCTAGCAATGAACCTAAAATACAGATACTTTGCGATGAACACAATCAGTAAGCCTACTAAGCCATGAGGCGACTGAGACACCAGGTGACTCTTAAACTCGATATGTATATAGTAGGGATCTGTCTCCACGCCAGTGGATCGAGTCGCCGCCTAGTTTTTCATCGGTGAAGCTGCAATACGTATACGAACGCTGTCTCGGACCTTGGTCTCAGATTCGGGATCGTCAGTCCAAAACGACATGTCGTTTGTCTTTTTGTCTTTCCCTTTCTCTTTTAAGTTAGTCCCTAATAAAGCAAACTTGATTCACAAGATTATCAATTTAGTGATACACATATAGACTTACCCGAAAGGGGGTACCTAAGATTCAGGCCTTTAGCGTATCTGTTACTTAGTTGTACTCTGAAGACCATTAAATAATACCTCATTTTCGCTTATACGTTCGTTTTAATCTATTAATATCTGAGTATTACCGTATTCTAGTAGACTCATCTTATGTGCCTTCTTCAGACACAGCTGTTCTCACACTATTCCTTTCCGGGGTTGTGATGCAAGGGTTAGTTGTGTTGAACCCTACTGATCCCGACCGAGGCGGTCATAGCCTTTCTTGCCAAAACCCTTTGCAATGAATATCAGCACTCGATGCGGTGTGACCATTGATTCACACACTCAGCCCAATTCGCACAAATCATAGAAGATGGTGATGACATGAAGTGTCAGTAGACAGTAAGCCATGTATAGATCATAGGTTTGGTGTTGTAGTTCAGAAATTCATCCAGCGGACGTCACATCACGTCCACATTTCATTCTTTTCCTTTCATCGAGACCTTATCCTCTCATTTTGGTTGCTTTCTGGATACGGAAATATTTCGGTTACACTTTTGATTTTTCCAATTCTAGCGGATCGAGTTTTTTCAACGAAGTCTACTATGGCAAACAGCAAGTTTGATGCCTTTGACAAGCTCGACTTCGTTTACAAGTCTGTCAAAAACCAGCCTCTCAAAGCTACCGTCTTGGTTCCCAAGGCATTGCGAGCAAACCCAAGCACGGAATATCCAGTTCTGGTCAATTGGCATGGCGGTGGCTTCGTCGTTGGCCACAGATTGTACGAACAATGGTTCAGTCCTTGGTAAGTATACCAGACCCTGGATCGCGGATGAGACATTACTGATGCCATAGTGATCGCAGGATCATTGATCTGAGTCTCTCTACCCCTTCCATTCTCATCACTCCGGACTACCGTCTTCTCCCCGAATCGAATGCTGCCGATATCTTGGCCGACCTCGAAGACTTCTGGACCTGGCTTCGCACTCTTCCCGACCTGGCCGCAGGATGGCAAGCACGTCCCGATCTTTCACGTCTCGCGTGCGCGGGAACCTCCGCCGGTGGCTACCTAGCCGTCCAGTCCGCCCTCCTCTTTCCGCACCTGTCCCAAATTAAGGTCATCATCTCCATTGCTGGCTCTCTGTATACCGACATCCCGTACTACCGTATCCCAGGCCCAAAGACTATCCTTGGCAAAAAGGCTCCGCTGCCCCACAAGGCCGAGAGCATTGTCCGGGCTTATGTGAAAAGTATCAAGCCTGGGACCATTAGAACCAGTGGAGATCCGGTCGAGATGTGGGAGCTTTTGACTTGCGTTCTGCAACAGGCGTATTTACCGCGCTGGCTTGGGATGAGGACAGGGCGTAGCAACCACACTGACGTTATGAAAAATCTTGAGAAGGTGGAAGCACTTCCTCCTATCTGGGTGGTGCAAGGAACCCATGACTCAGTGGTAAGCGATTTCTGTCGTTCAGAATCAAAGTCAGGAACTGTTTTTGTGTAAACTAATGGACGACCATATTCAGGTTCCTCCAATTTGCGCAACTGGCTTTGTGGACGGGTTGAGGAAAAGCCAACCACATGTGCCTGTGCTACTTAGTCTTCAACCTGGTGATCATGGCTTCGAGGTAATGCACACATCGGAAGACGAATGGATTCAGGAAGGGTTAAGCTTCATCAAAGATTATTGGAATTAATTTTGAGAAGGCGCTATGAAGAAATATGCACTAAACACTTGTCATGGACTTCCAAAATGACGGTGTTATTACTAAGACTTTGTCCAGTATGCACCTGATCAAGTGCCCAGTAAACACCCCTAATGTGTCAGGCTGCATCGGCAGCTATCAGGCCATCACGGAACTTACATCTTCCTTTCACGGTTCCTTTCGTTGTCAACTGCAAAGCTTTGTTTCTCCAGTCACCACACTTCTCGTTGTTCTCTGAGGGAAACAGCACGTTGTGTTGATCACCTGTACGGATTGGTAATGTGCTCCTGGCTGTGCGGTAGCCGGAGCGGAAACATGCTCTGTTCCGAGCCTTACTTTTTGTCACTGCATGCGCATTTCGTGTTCTTACTGATGGGGAATTCACGGCGCAATCCATCCATTAAAGTCTGACCACCATACTTCGGATTATTGGTTCATGTTTGTTGCATGCATCTGTGAGGCTCGGGCACTGACGGCACTGACGGGTTCCACGGCGAAGTCCTGCAGAAAATCTGGTCGTTTCGGTCTAAAGGCAAAAAAGGACCATGTTGTGTGCAGATCCAACGTCGAAGCAAGCCTTCATGTGCATTAGCTGATCAGAATCACCGAAGTACTTTGTACTTGTTACTGTACTGGTACTTGTCACTCTGTACCTCTGTACCTCTGTACCTCTGTACCGAATCGCAGTAAGCAGTAAGCAGTAGGTGTTACTGTGGCCTCCCGTGCTTGCAGGCTTATCAACCTGACCAAATCAGAAGTTGGCCCCTGAATCACTGATCGACGGGACGGCATTAGGCGGGAATACGAACGAATTCCACCGTCCCAATGTCTCTCAATAAACTTGTTTGTTTCTTCTGAACCTTCAATCTGCACTCCAGGCTTGCATTTTCGCTGTAGGGCGCCCTACCATCCTGCCCGTTCGCGAATCGGTCGAGGCTCATGAGTAACGGCGCGACCCTCCGGTCCTCCCTTTTCTTGAACGCTCAAAACTTAACGCCTGAGTCATCATGGGCGACGACAGAGTGGCAACCGCGACTGGTTCGACGCGCTCCATCACGTCAGCCGCAAACCCTGTCGCACCCAACCTCAAGCCTGGGCAACCAACCTCGGCCATGAACCTGGATCACAGCGGGCAGCAAGCTGAGCCAAACCTGGTGAGCAATACCTAATCCTGCATGCAAATTGCATTCATCCTGCTGTCGCTCTTGTTGGCAAAAACAGCAAAAGAGCTCTGGCTAAGCGTGGTCAACAAACGACAGGTAACATGGAACGGCCCAGACGATCCAGAACATCCAAAGAACTGGACAGCGAGCCGGAAATGGCTGTCAATCGTCCCGGTGTCGCTGTTCAACTTCCTGGCCTCGGTCAGTTCCTCTACCATGGCCCCCGCGCTGGGCACCATCGGCCGCGAACTGCACTTCCAGTCCACCACTCTCCTCATACTGTCACTATCAGTGTTTCTGCTGGGTACTGCTGTCGTGCCACTGTTCACGGCTCCGCTATCTGAGGTCTTTGGGAGATCCATCGTGTTGCAGTCCTGCAATCTGTTCTACATTGTCTTCAATACGCTGTGCGGGAGTGCGAAGACCCCGAACGAGCTAATTACTTTTCGCTTCCTCGCGGGGCTGGGCGGAGCCGGTCCATTTGCTGCAAGTCCCATACCTCTTTCTTCCTTTCTGTTTTCATACCCCGCTTCGAATACTAACAGATGCAAACCAGATCGGAAGTGGTGTCAATGCCGATCTCTTCCGGCCCCACGAGAGAGGCAAGGCCATCGCGGTCTATGTCATGGCGCCCCTCCTTGGAGGTCTCGTGGGACCCATCGCAGGTGGTTTCCTCGATCAATACGTATCGTGGCCGTGGTGCTTCTACGTTATTTCGATTGCTGGTGGGGCAGTCCAGGTCCTTGGGCTTCCCTTCTTCCACGAGACCTACGCCCCTGTTCTCCTCCAGAGGAAATGCAAGCGTTTGAAAAAGACCACCAATAATCCAGACCTGTACACTGAGCACGACAGTGTCTCCCTTCAAACGCTTCTGCGCACAAGTGCGATCAGACCGTTCAAGCTGTTGGCAACTCAACCTATTGTGCAGGTTTGGAGTTTGTACTGTGCATATATCTGGGGTATTTTGTACCTCATCATTGCTACGTATCCAGAAGTTTGGACCGGAATCTACGGGGAATCCATCGCCATCGGGTCACTCAACTACATCTCCCAGTTCGTGGGCATGGGATTGGCCTCACAACTTGGGACTCGCCTTGCCGATGAGTACTACAACAAGAAGTGCGCAGGGAATGGGGGACAGGGACTCCCTGAATTCCGTCTTCCTGTCCTTACTCTGGGAGCTTGTATAGTGCCCATTGGTTTGTTCATTTACGGATGGACTGCGAGGGCTAGTATCCACTGGATTGTGCCGTGAGTTTTCTCTTTTCTTTCTTTTCTCTCAGACGTCATTTTCAGTCCCGGTTGAAGCCCTGGCATGCTTATCAATCGTTCTTCAAGCGTTGGGCTTCCTGACCGCGATTGACAGAAATATTGGCTCGGCTTTATTCGCAGGCGGCACCTGTCTTGAAATCCTCTGCGTGATGGGTTACATGATCGACACCTATCCAAAATACGCAGCAAGCGCCATGGCATCCGTTCTCGTCCTTCGAAGCATTTTGGCTTTTGCCTTGCCTCTCGTTGCCTCCCCGCTGTAAGTCCCCGATGAATAATTGCACCGCTCAAACTAGAAAAGTCAACCACTGTGACCTCGGTATTCGTATCTGGTTCGAACCTATTGCCTAACGCCGAGTCTAGTTATGACAATTTGGGTTATGGCTGGGGTAACAGTCTCCTCGCATTCATCGCAATATTTGTGGGAATTCCAGCTACAGTTGCCTTGCGGTATTTTGGCCCGGCTTTGAGAAGGAGGAGTACATATGCGAGGGACGACGTTTGAATCTGAAGTTCAAGTACTTGGGTTGAGCTATGTTTCTCGTAGGAAGGGCTTGCTTGACATCATCTTCTGCGACGCAATGGTCATTGCCGGAGCCGAAGGTTTCCGGTGAAGACGGTGTGCTGTACAGCATTTATGTAATAACTTTAGAATAGGAAGCACTGAGACCAGCGCACAAAAAGGCATCAACAGTTTAGCATGAGTCATTTCCCTGGAAATGCGCTACTGTAAAGTCAATTACTTTTATCTTTTGCTGTAATTAACATCTGCGAGAACGTGCATGCCATTTGTATGTCGGCGTCCAGTGTTCCTCATCCCATCCCCATATTTTCTTTCCAACTGAGATATACGAGACCACGTAGCACCCAGTCTAGAGGAAAGAAAAGTAATTTTAATGCCTCTACGTGCCATTTGGATCGAACACACACACCTATGCACACACGCAAAAGAAGAAGCCAGCGGAACGGCCTCCATCATACACTAGACCAAAATCAAAGTCCACTAAGTCAAGAAGAGAAAAACATTGTTTGTCAGGTATCGCAAATGAATTGGACAACTATGGCTTCTTTTGCCTTGGGAACACTCCATCAACGACCAACTAATTCTGTGCTCCCCCATGTTGGTATCAATACCTTCACTCAGACTAGATTGTACAAGGGGCTCTCGCCAACTCATGTGCCCTAAGCTTCAACGTTTCGCGTCCTAAACAGTACCTCCGCTTTCGGATCGGGAAACTGATTCGTCTGGAACAAAATCCCCTTTGGCCGCCCCTTCCCTTCCTTGAACTTGATGTCATAATGCTGAATCAAAGCCGCGACCACCAGCTTGTTCTGGTGCGCGGCAAACCATCGCCCCGGACAAGCATGTCTACCGCTTCCAAACTGCAGCTGCGTTTTGGTGATGGAGGTCAGCTGGTGCCTGTTGGAATCGCTCTCCGAAGCTTGGCGGAACTTGAAGAAGCGAAGCCCGTCAAAGGTCTTGGGGTCGGGGTAAATGTCAGGGTCGAAGTTGACAGCGTTTGCAGGCGAAAATGTCATGGTGCCGGCCGGGATCTGCGTGCCGTCGGATAGGGTGATAGGCTGGAGTGCCTTTCTTTGGAAGGTCGCTATCGACGCAGGATTAATTAATGCTAGGTGTGGGAAGACGAGGAAGGGACATACCGGTCAGGTGTCCACTGTGCCGCAGGGTTTCCTTAAGGAAGCTGTCAAGCTTCTGCAGCTTGCCCATGCTTTCCAGGGTCCATTCCCCTCCATAGTCTTTGAGCACAGATTCAATCTCCTCTCGCAACACAGGAATGTATCCGGGCCAAGTGCAAAGATTGAATATGGCGTTAGTGATCAGTTGGCTCGTCGTGTTTACTGAAACTGCCGAGATGCCTAGCTGCGAAATGCCGTGGAAGTGAGCATCTCTTCTATCCGGCTCTGGGACCAAGTCTCTGAGCCACTCGATGGAATCGTTGGGCTTTGTGTAGCCTGCCCTCTCCTCCTGGATTTCTCGCTCCCGGAGGATTGGGGCGACGAGGTCTCGTGCTCTGGAATTACATCTCCAGACTGCGCGTAGCTCGGGAACGAAATACTGGACGATAGGGCGAAGCCAAGCAGGGAAAAACCTGAGTTTTGCTGAAGAGAGGAAAATGTTTCTAACATACTGCATTCCAGGTGTCAGGACATAGGCTTTTCGATCTCATTTCGAACGAACTTACAGAGCAAGTTATTTCAATCCACTCCTGGTTAAGATGGAGGTGGCTCCCAACAAATATCTTGGCATTGACTCTGGCCACGCATCGTAGCACTTTGGGGTATACTTGAATAGGCTCCCATTCTAGATACTATCATCAGTGAAAAGATTCATTTTGAGTTCCTCCCAAGAACGCATACCTTTGCTGCCTGGGAACTCGAGAGGAATTACAGAATCGACCTCATTCTTCATGTCCGGAAAGATGGAACCTGAGTTTGCCGGGTCAGTCGCAAACTCCATCCAAGTTTCAAGCCCCGCAATTACCCATGTTTTTGTTCAAATCATTTTTCATAACGACATGCCCGAAGTCGAGTTTGGACGAATCGATGGGCCATAGATAATCTTGCAAGAAGAACTAGAGTCATTCATCAGAGCCTGGCGTAAAAACATAGAAACTGGGTGCTTTTTCATACATTGCGAAGTGCTGATGGAAACTTGTTGTCGGGCAACATCTTCAATTCATCAACGTAGTCTGGAGGTATCACAACTTGATCTCCTTCTGTCGTCCAGATCTTGAAGGGCTTGCCATAAAACTACGACTAGCACGTCAGACGCTCTCGCTCAAAACAACGAGCCCTCTCGTGGGTCCCGAACCTTGTTGTATGCCTCTTGAAGGAGGCTAGGAGAATCGTATAGCCATCTTTTCTTCAAGTTGCCTGCTGCCGATTTTCCCGGTACAAAGTTTGGTATCAACGATTTGCCTTCCTTAGACTTTGAAGCGAAACGGTATGCAAGCAATATCAAAATTGCAATCAGAGCCGTATACGGCTTTAGCGCCGGCGGCATTTGCAGCGATAGCCCATCAAAATCCATTGCGTAGTTAGTGAAGATTATGGTCTCCTTGTGGTGTAGTCTCGTGGGAGAACAAAAGCTTAGATGGCAAAAAGAGCGGTGCGTGCGTGAATGAATACTGAACGGCCTTGGGACACAGCAGACCTTCTGCTAACCAGGAAATGGTGCTATCTCCAGGAACCATTGACGGCCTGGGGTCATGAGGTGTGGAGTGATTACAGGATCCGAGGAGTCCATAATCACATGGAACAATCGCATTTCCAAAATGAGACAGTGTGCGAGACCATCGGAGAAATCTTTGTTTGATGGCTCGTCAGCTTACCTGTCTAGTTCCGATGTACAGTCCTTGTCACCTGTACTGCGAACCCTCGACCAGTGGGAGTTTCAACACTTGTCAGCATGTATGTGGTTTGTATTCTTTCCATTACATGCGTGGCACTGCAGGAACTCGGTCCATCATACGTCACGTACACCGACCATTTCTCTCGCAAATGCAGGCTGGTTGCTTCTTGTGTAGCCAAGCGAGCCTCAATCTGCACAGTTCGGGTTTCGAGGGCTCCGCTCCCCGCGGTATTCCGCCTAGGGAGATCGTAGTCAGCTACCTACTGTTGCCGGCAGACACCGACACCCCACTATTCTCATCCTCCATTTGTTTCCTTAGAGTCATCTTATTACTCAGATTTCATCAACAGGATAGTGCTCTGAGCATTGTCTCCACTGATATTCCTAAGTGTGGCAATGTCAGCCTCGTGGGAGCCAAGACGGATGAGTTTCCCGAGATCTGCTTCCCGAGATCTGCCACCAGCTTGCCGAAAGTAGTGTCCCGGGCCCGTCAGAGCATAGACCGTCCGCCCACATGTGTGAGGCATATCTGTCTGACATGACTGCTGCCGGCCAAGCAGCACACCACTTCATAGAGCAACGCTAATTCACATTCGGGAAATCTTAGTAACGAACTACTCAAAAGTTGACAAGTCTACCTGGCCAGGTACGCAAGTAGGTACGTACAGTGCAGCACAGCAGACATCCAGTCCACCTTGCTTCCCTTGTGTCCCGACTTCTCTTTCCCGGTGCCCCGGCGATGGATCCCGCTTCGTCTCATCATCAGCTTGGGGGCGGCTTACTTTCTGCGAGCCATCCCAGGGCGAGACTACTTGCACTGTGCATCCTAAAAAGGTTGTCCCGATTTGTTGCTGGTGATAGCTCACTTCTTCCCAACTGTCTGCATATGATAAGACATGCAGGGTTGTAAAAGTCCGAATGAGGATTTTGTATTAAATTTACACTAAATCAACAGACTTCAGGCACAGAACCAGGAGGGGGAAAAACAGTTTTCTACATATTAATTGCGACTTTAACTGTGAACCCGATTTTCTTTCTAGCTTAAACGCTTAAATACAACAATGCTATGTTAAAAAAAGTATTATCCTATCCTTTAATACTATCGCCTGAAACTAAAAAAAAAAAAAATTATTCGAGGTCCATATCATAATGAATTTATTTATTATCATTCATGTTACCATGTACTCTTTGTTTGCATACCAAGTTGTGGGTAATGTACTTTGTCAAAACACGACCCAGAATCAGAAACGCTGACGTCAATGTGTCAATTTGAGTTAAACCGGTACAACTTCTCTAAGCCAGAACAGGAACAATTCAGAGAGCTGTACCTGGACGAAATAAACTTCCACGTGGATGGTGTATGGCCTATGTCAGCCTCTTACCTAGGTCGATTTCACTGCACCCACTGGACACAAGCGCCCTCTGATCCAGATGCAAGTCGGTCCCTCTTGCAGGCTGACCTGGTGGCACACGACGTCATTGCAACAGATGTCGAGAAAGTGAGAATCCGTCGTTGAGACATGCCCGAGGTGCACTGTTTGATGTCATGCCTAAGGACAGAGTGTGCTTCACCTGGTGGGCGGTATGGCTATGGTACTGCTCCTTGTGTCAAGGTGCCCATTCTCCATGTTAGCCTCGTCACTCCCTCGGTCATAAAGCTCTCATATATGTAGTGAGACATACGATTAACTTCCTCCAGCTATTTCATGAACTCTCTGGACTCCACTACCCCCCTTGATTTGCACCAAGCCGAATTTCTATCATTGGTGTTGGCTGACTTAACACCAAGGCTTTGAATAAAACATCAGTAACCTTTGAATTTCTCGGCCACAGTAATGCCCACACAGCTTAATCTTTCCCTTATATACCTTTCAATCAATTAGATCCTCATACCCGACATCGAACATGGCCACCAACGGTTACCATCCTGAAGGCACAAACGGCCATACAAACGGCCATGCAAATGGGTGGTCGAGCCCTTCCACCGAAGACTCAGGTTCTTCAAAGCCCAATCAGGTTCCAATTGCTATTTGCGGCATGGGCATGAGGTTGCCTGGAGGTGTCCACAATGCCAGCGACCTGTACAACTTCCTCGCCAACAAAGGTGATGCTCGGTCTGTTATCGGAGAAGATCGCTATAATGTTGATGCCTACTACGATCCTCATGGCAAGCACGGCACCATCAACACCAAGCATGGTTACTTCTTGAGCGACGTTGATTTCTCCATGTTTGACTTGTCGATGTTCACCCTCACCGCGGCTGAGGCCGAGCAGGTTGATCCGAATCACAGATTGGTGCTCGAGGTAGTCAGAGAAGCTTTCGAGAGTGCCGGAGAGACTGAATGGCGAGGAAAGAACATTGGTACTTACGTCGGTAAGTTCTTTTTCCCTTTGGCCTTCCCTGGGGAGGCTCCGTATTTTCATGCACGCAGCCACTATCAACATTTCGCCTCTGTAATCATCAATCCCCATTGTCCACCTTCGAATGCGCCGTTATTATTTCTCGTATGTGACGTTCTGTATTCTACCCAATACTTACTTCTTCCCAGGAATGTTCAGCGAGGATTGGCAGGAGCTACAACACAAAGACACCCTTGAGTATAACCCGTACAGGGTTTTGGGTGGTCTTGACTTTGCTCTGCCCAACCGCGTGGCTTACGAATATGATCTCAGGGGTCCCAGGTACGGGCGCAGAATATTCAAACGTATTTGATAAATCAAATCACTAATAATTGGCTAGTATGATCATCAAGACGGCCTGCTCTTCCGGTGGTCTTGGTCTGCACCAAGCCTTGCAAGCCATTTCGCAGGGCGAGATCTCTTCTGCGATGGTCTGTGGGACCAATCTAATTATGGCACCCGGAATGACAATCAGCATGAGCCTACAAATGGCCCTCTCTCCCGAAGGCTCATCCAAGACTTTCGATGCGTCTGCCGACGGATACGCCAGAGGAGAAGCTGTGACCGCACTCTACGTGAAGCGTCTAGACGAGGCGATCAGAGACAAGAATCCCATTCGGGCAGTCATCCGAGGATCAGCTAGTAATGCTGACGGCAAGACTCCAGGGCTGGCCGTCCCTAGCCCGGATGCCCACGAGGCCGTCATCCGTCAGGCTTACCACAATGCCGGCCTGACTCTGTCGGAGACCACGATGGTAGAAGCTCACGGCACTGGGACCAAGATAGGGGATCCTCTCGAGACTAAGGCGATTGCGAACTGCTTCGGTGATAAGGGTGTCTACATTGGTGCTGTAGGAATACCCATCCCCCTTCCCTACCGCAGCAACACGTGACATCGCTAACATTAGAATAGATCAAACCCAACATGGGCCATAGCGAAGGCGCTGCTGCCATCACCAGCATCATGAAAGCAGCGCTATCTCTTGAGAACAAGACTATCATCCCAAACATAAAGTTCACGACTCCAAACCCGGGAAGTAAGCTGCGAATCCCTGTGAAGTTCAATGATGGAGTCAGGCTGACCATTCAAAGTTCCGTGGAAAAGCGGCAATTTGACCGTCCCCGTGGAACCTACTCCATGGCCTGCAAACCGCCGGGAGCGAATCAGTATAAACTCGTATGGCATCGGTGGGTCGAATGCACACGTGAGATCTCCCCCTTTTTATGCCAAGTGAGATTGAAAACGGGCTGATTCCCTTCATAACTTAGTTTGTCATCGATTCTGCCGCCTCGCTGAGTGCAGAGGCTCCCACGTCTCCACCGCGCTCTGTTGCAGCCAAGAAGCCCCGCAAAAACTTGCTGCTCTTTTCGGCCAACCACCCTGAATCCTTGAAAAAGGGCGCCATAAACATCGAGGAGTATGTCAAGAACCATCCCGATCGTGTTGAGGACCTAGCATACACCCTTGCGCAAAGACGAGAACATTTGAAGTTACGGAGCTACTGTATTGTTCAAGATGGCACAACGCCTTTTCAAGTCTCGGCACAGTTCAAGTCCCAGGGTCCGCGCCAAGCAGCCTTTGTATTCACGGGCCAAGGTGCGCAGTGGTATGTCTCTTCCTGCCTGCTAGTTTACAGATGTGCAGCAATGTTGACCGCCATTACCCAGGGTGCACATGGGCAAAGAACTGATGCTTGAATACCCGTCATTCCTGGAAAGCATCAGATCGATGGATGATGTTCTACAAGATTTGGAACATTCTCCAACGTGGTTGATGGAAGGTAATACCGTCCCCAACCTGAACTGATCCCAGAAAATCTGGCTTACATAAAACAGACATCCTCTTGAACTGCAGCGACAGAACAATCCTTGGCAAAGCTGAATACTCACAGCCAATTTGTACAGCTCTACAGGTTGCGCTTGTCCGTCTCTTAGGTACTTGGGAGATCACCCCATCCGCAGTGGTTGGTCATTCCAGTGGTGAGATTGCCGCAGCGTACGCTGCGGGTGCCTTGACCGCCAAGGAGGCTATTATCGCGGCATTCTATCGGGGCTACGTCTGCAAGACCGCTCAACGACTGGGCGGAATGGCGGCCATAGGTATTGGCAGACCTGTGGTTGAAAAGTACCTCCTCCCGGGTGTTCGAGTTGCCTGTGAAAACAGCGCATCTAGCGTCACCATCTCCGGGGATTTGGACGCTCTTGAAAAGACAATGTCCACGATCAAAATCCAGAATCCGGACGTCTTGGCCAGAAAACTTCACGTTGAAATGGCATATCATTCCCGTAAGTCTCTTCATGTCTCAATCAACGTCTACACTTGACTAACAGGGGTAGATCATATGACTCTGGTTGGCGACACCTACTACAGACTCATCGCAGAACACCTAACCCCCGTGGCGCCAAGGATTCCCTTCTACTCGAGTGTCAAATCACAGGTACTGCACGAGGCATCTGACTTTGGTGCCAAGTATTGGCAAGATAACATGGAAAAGCCAGTCTTGTTCCACTCTGCCGTGAAACAAATGCTCTCCAAGGCGAAGGACTGTTCCGTACATCTGGAGGTTGGACCCCACGCTGCTCTAAGCGGTCCTCTGCGACAGAATTACACCGAAGCTTCAGCGTCGATCAACTATGTTTCGACTCTTGTCAGAGATACTGATGCTGTCGATTCCTTCCTACACGCGGTCGGCCAGCTCCATTCTCACGGGGTTCGAATTTCTTACCCCTTTGCCTCCGAGACAACCAAAGTACTCACCGATCTCCCTACGTACCCATGGCATTACGACAGGAGCTACTGGGCTGAGACAAGAATCATGAAGAACTGGCGATTCCGGAAGCACCTCCCTCACGACCTTCTGGGCCTTCGAACCCTTGAGGGCAGCGATGTCTCGCCCACGTGGAGAAATCTCCTGCGCCTGAATGATATTCCGTGGGTGAGAGATCATTGTGTTGGCAGCGATATTGTGTTCCCAGGAGCCGGCTACATTGCCATGGCTGGTGAAGCTATTTACCAAATTACCAATGTCCGAGACTACACCATCCGGAATATGGAGTTGAGCAAGGCTATGGTTCTTCACAACGACAAGCCCACAGAGGTCGTTACCAGTCTTCGTCCTCAGAGACTTACCTCGACATTGGACAGCGAATGGTACCAATTCGAACTTGTCTCATACGATGGCGGGGCCTGGAACAAGCACTGCTCCGGTCTAGTCCGCAGTGGTCGCGCTTCGCCCAATCCACCAAAGACAACTCAAAGCCTCGACAGGGAAGTCTCGTCATCTCGGTGGTACACGACCATGTCTCGAGTCGGCTTGAATTACGGACCACACTTCACTGGGCTGAAGAACATACGCGCCAGCGTCGTCGATACTATGGCTGCAGCCGATATCACAGACAAGCAAGGCTCTGCCGAGTCTTCATATATGATCCATCCTTCAACACTCGATCTCGTGTTTCAGTCGTTGACCGTAGCGAGCTGCAAGGGCATCTACAGGACTTTCACAAAGCTGTTTCTCCCAACCTTCATAGGCGAACTCTACATCGGCGGCGCCGCCGGGAAGACAATGCAGGTCAATACAACTGCTGTCGGCAAGCCGGGCGCGGTCCAAGGAAGCTCCTACGGCACGTCCGAGGATGAGGTGGTCTTCTATCTCAAATCCTTCAAGGGCACCGCGATGGAAGACTCGGGTGTGGAGAAGTCACCTGAGTTGAAGTCTCTTCAGCTACAATGGAAGCCGCACTTCGACTTCATCCAGGCAGGAGATTTGATGAAGATGCAATACGACATCAAAGAGCAGATTCAACATTTGGAAAGGCTGTATGTTCTCTGCGCCATAGAGACGAAGCATGCGCTGTCTGGTCGATCAACTGCGCTGCCTCACCTGGAGAAATATAGGGCCTGGCTGGATGAACAGTTCGATCGATTTCAGCAACCAGCCTATCCGCTGGTACCTGAATCAATGAAGATGACCGAAATGGGCTCAGAGCTCCGCCGGGAGCTTATCGCACAGTTCTTCGAGATATGCAAAGCCTCGGGAGGCTGGGCCCCAGCGACCGCTATCGTCAGGGCCTTTGAGCAGGCCGTGAACGTCTACGAAGGCCGCACGGACTACCTTGACCTCCTGCTCCAGAACGGAGTCCTCACCGGCATTTACAGCTGGTACAACGACATCTGGGACTTCAAGGACTTCATGCAGGTTCTCGGGCATACCCAGCCACAGATGCGGATCCTGGAGATTGGGTCTGGGACAGGCGGTCTCACGGCCAAATTCCTCGAGCAGCTGAAGTCTGATTACGGAGAGCGTCTTTACCTGAAGTACACGTTCACTGATATATCCTCTGGATTCTTTGTCCAGGCCAAGGATCGGTTTGCGGACTACCAGGGAATCGAATACAAGGCTCTCGATATATCTAAGAACCCATTGGAGCAGGGATTCACTGCGGGCGAGTACGATCTCATCATTGCTTCGAACGTCCTGCATGCGACCCCATGGCTGCATGAAACCCTCACGAATGTTCGCACATTGCTGCAGCCGAAAGGACAGCTTTTCTTGCAAGAACTGTGCCCCATTACAAGAGGTAAGCAAGAGCCTGGATTTCACTGTTTTTCCTTAAAATGGGAGCTCCATTAGCTCGATTCAGGGTGCCGGACGGAGCTTCAACTCAATACTACACCTACCCTCTCCCACGCCCAGGGCAGGTCTGGAAGATAAAGTTCTAACTTATTTCTTAGCGATGAGCTTCATTATGGGACAGTTCTCCGGCTGGTGGCTCAGTGAAGAGGACGGCAGAGTTGGCAGTCCCTTCATCTCTCCCGATGAGTGGGATAGGAGACTACGGGCTGCCGGCTTTGCAGGGTGCGACTCAGTCACCCTAGACAATGAGCAACCATACACCTACAATGCCAATATCATCGCCAAGCCTGCCTCAACACCCTCGCGCCCAACTAAGATTACCTTGCTTCGGAACTCCGAGGAGTCTCAGCTGCCCAAAGACGTCGCAAACATACTCAGTTCCAAGGGCTTCGAGATCGATCACTGCATCTGGGGCCAACAGTTGCCTGCGGACCAAGATGTGATCTCGTTCCTTGACCTGGGCAACAAGCCGCTGCTGCAGGATCTGACAGAAGAGGGTCTCACCCAGTTTCTGGACATGATCGACTTACTCCCACAAGCAGCCGTTCTGTGGCTGACGCCACCAGCCCAGATCCACGCCCAAGACCCTCAGGCGGCCCAGGTCCTCGGCCTGGCTAGAACCATCAGGTCTGAACTGGCAATGTCGTTTGCCACCCTGGAGCTCGAGCACACCGGCAAGGGGGCGGCCGGCGCTGTTGTCCAGGTCGCTCAGAAGCTACAGGAGTCAAAAGAGGATATCACGGAGCTGGATCCCGACATGGAGTACTCTTGGGTCAATGGCGTGCTCAATGTCAGTCGCTTCCACTGGATCCCTGTCGAAGAGTCCCTGAGTGGCACTGCAAAGACGCCCGAGACCAAGGTCCTCAATATCGGGACCCCGGGTCTCTTACAGACGCTGAACTGGACTGGCCAGGCCCTTGACCCTCTTGCGCCTGATGAAGTCAATGTTAAGATGTCGGCAGTGGGTCTGAACTTCAAGGATGTTATGATCGCAATGGGTATCATCCCTGGCGGAGACACCTTGAAGAAAGGATCCAGTTCCCTCGGCCTCGAGGGCGCTGGGCGCATCACTGCGGTAGGCTCCCAGGTCAGCAATGTCGCCGTTGGAGACCGCGTCATGACGATTGGGTGTGAATCTGTTGGTCTCGCAACTACCGTCCAGAGGCCAGCCAGCCTTTGCGTCAAGATCCCGGATCAGCTCAGCGACAAGGAGGCGGCTACGATGCCGGTCGTCTACGTGACCGTTCTCATGTTCCTTGTGGAGAAATGGAAGTTGGAGAGGGGCCAATCTATTCTGATCCACAGTGCTGCCGGAGGTAAGAAATACCCCTAAAACTTGTATAGGAATGCCCTGAGTGTGCTGACAATAGATCATAGGTGTCGGCATCTGCGCCATCAACGTCGCGCAGTGGCTCGGCGCGGAGATTTACGCGACAGTGGGCACGGAAGAAAAAGCTGCCTTCCTGTTAAAGGAATTTGGCATTCCCAGGAACCGCATTTTCAACTCTCGAGACAGCAGCTTCTTGAACGATGTTATGCAGGCCACCAAGGGTGTTGGTGTGGACATGGTCTTGAACTCCCTGTCCGGCGAGCTGCTCCACACTTCATGGCAGTGTGTTGCCCCTCACGGCGCCATGATCGAGATTGGCAAGCGAGATATGATGGGCCGGGGGCAACTCGCCTTGGATCCTTTCGAGGACAACAGGACCTTCATCGGAGGTGAAGTCGCTCGTCTCCTCGTCACCCACAAGCCTATCATAGCTCGTCTTCTAAAACTCACCGTCGACCAATACCTGGAGGGTAACTTCCGGCCCATCCTGCCAATCACGACATTCGATGCAGAGCACACCGAGGATGCCTTCAGGTTCATGCAGAAGGGAACTCACGTCGGGAAAATTGTCATCAGGTTTCCTGGGGATGATACCCTTCCCCTGACTCCCGCTGTTCCAGCGCCCAAGTTCAGAGGCGATGTCTCTTATCTTCTCGTTGGGGGCTTGGGCGGACTGGGAAAGGCCATCGCCGGTTGGATGGCTTCGTACGGTGCCAAGAATCTAATGTTCCTCTCAAGATCCGCCGGAAAGTCAGAAGAAGACCAGGCATTCTTCAAGGAGCTCAACATGATGGGATGCTCCACTCAGTATTTCCCATGCGATGTTGCAGACCACGACGAAGTCCGAAATGCCCTCGCCCAAGCCTCACTCCCAATCGCAGGTGCCATGCAGATGGCGATGGTCTTGCGGGACGTTGGTGTCCTAAGCATGGACATTGACTCCTGGAACACCGCCACGCGACCAAAGATCCAGGGCACATGGAATCTGCACAATCTCCTTCCAAAAGACATGGACTTTTTCGTCCTCTTCTCTTCGGTCGGTGGAACCTTCGGCTACTACGGCCAGTCCAACTACGCCTCGGCCAACACATTTCTCGACTCCTTTGTCCAATACAGACAAAAGTCAGGTCTCGCCGCCTCCGTTATGGACATCGGCCCAGTCGACGACGTCGGCTACGTCAGCCGGACAGCTAGCACGCGAGAGACCTTGCTACAGACCTTGGAGACCCTCTTGACAGAGCAGAACTTCTTGGACAGCTTGCAATTGGTCATCGCCCGCTCGTCTCCCGAGTACGCCCCTCGGAGATCCAAGTCCGCGCTGGCCGGCTACCAGAACCCAAGTCATATCGTGCAGGCCCTCGAGTCCCGCATCCCGATCATGGACCCTCAGAACGGCAGCATGTGGAAACGAGATCCTCGTATGTCGATCTACCGGAACATTCAGAAGACTTCGATGGTGGAAGGGGGTGAGGTTGCCGATCACCTCAAGCAGTTCTTGTCCAGTGTGATGGCCGATCCGAGCAAGCTCAGCAACAAAGAGTCCGCCGACACTATAGCCCAAGAGCTCGGAAGGTGTGTGTCAAACTTCCTCATGAAGGGAAACGAGGAGATTGACTTGAGCTTTACGCTATCAGCCGTTGGGGTTGACTCCCTGGTGGCCATTGAAGTTCGCAATTGGTGGAGGCAGAACCTCGGCATTGATGTTTCGGTGCTGGAGTTGATGAGTGGAGGTACTATTGAGCAGCTTGGAGAGCTGGCCACGAAGAGGTTGGCTGAAAGGTTCTCTGATAAATGAGTGACGGACATGACACGTGACAGACTTTCTGCGCAACATCCGCTGTGTTAATAGAATATAGATCCCTAGTGGTCTCGTTTTTAATCTGTACGTATTTCACTGCCATATATAATAAGGCTTATGCTGCTGACTTCGCGCGCAATGAACAGTATACTCTTCCATGGGTCCTGACTCTGCCGAATCCTTACCCAATATTTGAGACTACTGCAGGCCATTGGTGTGGAAGAGTGTCCCACTCGGCGATCAAGTTTTAGTTTGGCAATGACGACGCTGTTGATGATGCTACCGAAGGCTCCTATTGTTCCTGCAGGGCGACAAGAACATGTGGCGTGCCGGGTCGGCAATGCTCACGCACAACTCCAAGGAGCCATGGATCTGCACGCACTATTTGATGCCCGATGTTGTGGGATTATAGTAGGTCAGCAATCCCTCGCCACGGTCATGTGCATGTACAGCGGATGGGTAACTAACTGGGACAAAATGCCAAGGCTCCTTGGCGAGGTGTTGTAGTGCTCCAGGCTGTACGGGAGCAAGAAAGAAATATCAATATGTTCAAATGGGTCGAAGCACAGGACGTCTGTCTTCTTTGCATACATTCTTGCAGCCAAATATACGGCAGACCAAATTAATTGGTAACATCTCTGGGATGTCTCTATAATTCTAGTGACCTACGAGAGGCAAAAGGTTCGGCCAACTGAGGCCTACGTCCTATTATATGGCAGTTTAGATAGCAGGTTGGGCTCCGGGTTGGGTGGTAGGCTAGGTTCCAGTGTGTGGTAGGTTCGGTTCCAGGTTGGGCGGTAGGTTCGGTTCCAGTTTGTGTGGGGAAGGTTCGGTTCCAGGTTGGGTGGTAGGTTCGGTTCCAGGTTGCGGGTGGCAGGTAGGTTAGATGGTGATAGGTAGGTTAGATGGCAGGCTAGATGGTAGGCTAGATCCCAGCTGCCCCTGATCTTTAAATGTTTTTCTTAAATTGAATTTAGATTCTTGACCACTGTACTATCCTCTTTTTTCCCCCTTCATGGGGCAGCTGGTGCTAGAAACAATCTCAATGACCTTATGTATGCTGGTCTAATGACCGGTTGGTGTCATGGTGGCTAGTGCTTCGTGCTAGCTCGATAGCTCCAGGCCGGACTGACTGAACACTTCTATTAAGACCGGTAATCAAATTCCTCATAATCTGATTGACTCTAACAACACAGATGGTTTGAGCGAGCTGTTAGAAGAAAGCACCATAGAATCTTAAAATACATGGAAGGTATGCCCCCTTCTGCGCCCGTTATCAAGGCAAAAGAATATGCGCCTTGGTTTATGTACATTCCAATAGTAGACATCACCCCGGTGTAGACAGTCGTTAAGAAAATCCGCAGCGGCAGTCATGTACTTGATTTCGAAGCCGGCCGATCAACCTCAATCCCCCCCCCCCGGACCGTCATCACTGGAATCCAAGCCGCCGCCAGCAGCCTTCTTTTGGAGACGGGCGGGGACGCCTACGACGATGCAGGTGATGACGCATGCGGCACCAGCGGTAGCCGTGGCGATTGCAAAGGGGATCCGGAGGCCGTCCATATACGCGAGCAAGATCCCGGGGATCTGGTCGGCGGGGAACGCTTCATGGATCTCGGACACGCCCGTGGCGATGAGCTTGGCCGGGTCAACGTCTGGTGCAGTGACGGCCAGCGTCTTAAGCATCTGATTAACGAATGCGCACTGTGCGGCAGACAGGAGGATGGCACCGGCGATTGTTTCCGAGACTGTTGTGGGGGATGACAGAAACTATGTCAGTAAAACATCCCTGGGTAGATAATACTATGCTTGACGAATTCCCCAGCCAAGTCTGGCATTACCGGCGCACATACCAGATGGGATGAACTCCAGTCTTGCCATGTTGAGCAATCAAACTTCATCCACGGCGTCGGGTTCGTGTCATGCGCCGTCTTTCCTTTGTATGGCGCTCGTGCAAATTGTTTCCAACTAACATTTCCGACTACAAACAGAGCCTTCCTTCCGTGGCACCGACTATTCCTGCGCCTGCACTAGATGCTGCCCCAGGGGGAGTGCGGCTACCGTGGCGCTCTTCCCTACTGGGACGAGCAGAGAGACCTCGAGGTTTATGGGACAATAGATCAGGCCCCGATCTGGGGATCTGATGAGTACAGCTTCGGAACCAACGGGTTGAACATCACCAACGGGACCAACTGCGTTATCGACGGTGCTTTCGCCAACACGACGCTCCGCATGGACCAGGTCTGGGGCGTGGACTACTACGATGAGTACTGCCTGGCCCGCGAGTGGAACCAGACCGCCTGGGAGTTTGCAAACCAATCATACGTCGATACGTGCTTTGCCATGACCACTTACAACGAAGCCAACTTTTGCTACGTGGACTCACCGTACTCGTGTGGGCACTTGGCCACTGGTGGAACTGTAAGCTTACCCAAAGACTTCAACCCGAGAATGCTGGGAGTAAGAAAGCGCAGATTTGGCTGACCGAGTTCTAGATGGAGAACCAAAACGCGAGCCCGGGAGACCCTGTCTTCTTCCTTCATCACGCCAGCCTCGACCGCCTGTGGCAGAAGTGGCAGGAGGCAAATCTAACAGCGCGCCTGACGGACATGAGTGGCCAGCTTGTCCCACCTGTGACCATCATGGAGCAGAACCGGTGGCTGTACCCATCTGCTGCCTACCTCGACTACGACGGGGACGCAGGCAACGACACGACCCTCAACCATGTGCTCTGGATGGGAGGTATTATCGCCAAACACACCATCGCTGAGGTCATGAACCTTAAAGGAGACTCGATCTGTGCCGAATACATAGACGCCGAGTAGCCGAGTCTGGTCTTTCGTTGGGGGCCAACGTTTTTACAACACCAAGAAATCACGAGAATGGAAAGACCATCACGCGTTTTCAATCATAGAAGATAGAACATAGAAAATAGACCACAGATGATTAGCATATAGGCATGTAGCACAGCAGAGAGCAGCGGGTGAGTAGAATTAAAATTGATCCTGCTCGTTCTCAGTGCGATCTTGAAGTGATTGCCAGTCGTCGCGGTACTGTGTTATTGACACGTGAAGGAGGTCGCGTCATTGGGGTCCGAACCGACAAAGGTGAGCTGCCGAGGATACAGGCATAAACCGACTTCTCTAGTGGCATTCGTATCACCAACAGCCGGTCCTGTAGCGGGTATGGTGTCAGGGGCTGTGCCATTCTCAACCCAAGCGAGTAGGGCATCGAAGATGGTAAGGTGAGGGTCGAGACCTGGGCCCAGACCACAATGCTCTACTCCGGGCGCGAGGAAGAATCGGTAGTAATCCGTGATGTTTGGATTAAACTCTGTCGCTCGGTCGTAATAGTCGACCGTTCCGTGGTAAGTGATGAGTTGGTCTGCCATGCCGTGCCAGGTGAGCAGTTTAGTTCCCGCATTTTGCAGGTCAGTCAAGTCGGGATTGTCCGTTCCAATGACGGAGGAGTACTGCGCAACGGATGCGCGGTACAGCTTATCATAGTCCGCCCTGCTTAAGCTACTTAGATCCAGCGACGTGTTCTTCGCTACAAACACTTTGAGCCAGTCCGCGGCGATGGGAAAAGGGACGACCGTGCAGTTATCCGCGGTATCGCACGTTGTGTTCAGGAGTCTGAGCAAAGAAGCGTCTTTCGCCATTCCGTACCACTCAAATTTACCCTCCACGGATGTCGGTCCTTGCCATATAGCGTTGACTAGCTCGGCGTGCTTCGCTGTGATAACAACGGATCCGCTTGGCTCAGTGCAGTTGATAGTGGAGTTAACTATGGACTCCGCGTCGAATTCGCACTGTTCTGGAAATGCAATAATTCCATCTTCGACGCCATCTAATCCATCGCATGCATTGATCGCGGCGTTAGTGAAGGCGTCCAGCACGCACGCAGGAGGTATGGTGTCTGTTGGCAGTCATTAGCCTCCGCACCCAGGTGTGAGCAACGAACCGACTTACCAAGAAGGTTTGCCATAAGGGGCCCCCAGTACTCTTGTACGATGAAGCGCTGCCAGTTGATCGCAGGGGCTCCAGCCAGGATTCCGTCAAATTGTTCAGGGTGCTGCTGAGCCATGATATGTCCCTGGCGACCACCGGTTGAACAGCCATTATAATAAGAGTACTTTGGAGGCGTGCCATAATACAGCTCGATAGCTAGCTTGCCCAGGGATGCTCCTTCGTCCAATGCGTCCACAGCGAAGTTCCATAACAATGGCCAGTTGACGTTGCCTTCGCTGACTAGACCCCAATCAGCCACCGGCGCGTTATTGTCGTGGCCACCGTCTGTGGCTACCGAGGAGTAGCCCTCCGCGACCGCTGCGAACATGTTGTTTGGATAGCTGGTGCCCCACCCGCCGCCGCCGACCATCTGGAAGCGCTCGTTCCAGTCAGCCGCGAGCAGAGGTAGGCCGATCAATACGTTGACGGTGTCATTCTGGCCAGGATGTGTGTAATGCACCGTAACCTGGCAGAGCTCACTGCCGGCCGAGGAGTCAGCGTACGCCCACCCAGCTTCTACAGTACGCCCACCCAGCTTCCAGCGTTGGCCCACCCAGTACAAGGAAATTGGTTGCATGCGCTATAAAATATTAGTACTGCGGGGTTATTAATAAAGCATAGCTATAGCTATCTTAAAGGGGTCCTATAGCTACCTTAAAGGGGTCCCATAGCTACCCCTTTATTTGCAACTTAAAAGTTACTTCTACTCTCTGCCGCCCTTTGCCGCCCTTTGCGGCCCTCTGCGCCCTCTGCGCCCTCTAAGCGCTCTACGGCCCTTTGGGCGCTCTGCAGCCCTCTGGGCGCTCTGGGGGCTCTGGGGGCTCTGGGCGCTCTGCAGCCCTCTAGGCGCTCTGGGGCCCTCTGGGGGCTCTGGGGGCTCTGGGGGCTCTGGGGGCTCTGGGCGCTCTGGGCGCTCTGGGCGCTCTGGGGGCTCTGGGCGCTCTGCAGCCCTCTAGGCGCTCTGGGGCCCTCTGGGGGCTCTGGGGGCTCTGGGGGCTCTGGGGGCTCTGGGGGCTCTGGGCGCTCTGGGCGCTCTGGGCGCTCTGGGCGCTCTGGGCGCTCTGGGGCCCTCTGGGCTTTTTAGGCTTGTATTTTTAAAGTATTGCTTAAATTGGAAAATAGCTACCCTGGCTTATTAAAAACCCCGCAGTACTTGCATTTTAATGCGGATGCAGCTAATTTTCCTTGTACTGGGTGGGCCAACGCTGGAAGCTGGGTGGGCGTACTGTAGAAGCTGGGTGGGCGTACGCTGACTCCCGGCCGAGGACTCCGACGAGGCCGTGGTGTTGACGAGCACATCCAGGGATGATACCTCGACATTGGGCAAAGTCAGAGATTGAAAGGTCGATGGATCACAGGCAACGGCACGCGCATTGGTGAGTCCCGCTGAGGCTGGAGAAAGGCTGGCAAGGAAAGAAGAAGGCATTTTGATGGTCCAGGAGCTTGACGCAACGAGAAAGGCCAGACAAAGATCCAGGAGTTTGACCACGGGCCCGAGAAGGTTCTGAAAGTCGCTCACCGGCCGTATATCTGGTGAGTCAACACCACCCCTCAACACGGGAGATCCCAAGATGGATTCCCCTAGGCTCGGATACATCGCGTCCCTCTGGCGCAATCTCCGACGAAAAAAAACACGCTGGGATACCCTGCGCGCAGCTTTCCGTGCTCGATCTGCGCTGGTTCGTCCCGTTTCTGTCGCTTTTCCGAAGGGGGAGACACCGCCCAGCCTGCCAGCTAATCCAAGACATCCGTCGGCAATTGTACCCGGCAAGGGCCTCACGAGCTAGACGTCAAGTCGCTGCGGCGTTTTCCTTGTACACCGCGTCGTCGTACTTGTCAACCAGGGCAAATGCCTGGAGGTGGGTTGGGCGGCTGGGGTTGCTGCGGGGTACCCCAGATTTCCCCGGATTGCCCTAGACTTGATTCATCTGAGATACGAGATAGGCTGTGAAAATCTCATCACACTGCGAAGTCCCATAGAGAATTACCACCGGGTAGAAAAACTAGACCTTGGGTCTCTAGAAGTTTGGCTGCTGCTGTGGAGTATTCTCTTTCTGCTCGTTCCGCTATACCGGACGACAAATTCCGATAATCTAACGGAAAGATCAGAATTCTAACACGCTCCCCAACGGTGAGCGACGTCGCGCCACTGGGCAGCTGAAACTCACGACAACATCTTGATATTTATATTAACAAAGCTTGTAGACTTGGATTGACAGTGATTTACTGACCAAAGGCTAGTGCAGGATGGCAATCTTGGGCTCGACCTTTAGTAACGGAGTAAAACCAATATGATAAAGTTCTATTATTACAACAACTTTTCCAATGGTCGACATATCTAGGCAGTCATTCTCTGGGCCTCTATATGACATAACAAAATAGACTCCACGACTATCTCGCGTCACAAGCGTATTACCAATAACTGTGACGCATCAAAATTCCGGGTTCAAGGTTACGGGCCAAGAGTGCCATGACTCACAGCCGTCTCCGGCTGACTATCATCCAGTAAGCCAGAGTCTCCAGACTGTGCTCGCCAATCCGGTCGACTAGATCCAACCGTAGTGGGCATGCTGGACATGGCTGATTTTTCTTGTGGCTGCTCGTTTAGTCCTTGAGCTCCGCTGCTATGCGACCTTGACGTGGCGAGCTTGCCCTTCACAAAAAGACGGATGAATGGCACGCTGGCAGCCATGATGAGACTGGCTATTTCTGCCGCCGTCCAGATAATGAGATTCCTAACCTCGTCTGTGTTTGTTAGAGAAGGGTAGACAATCAGAAGGATAATATTTGCGGAGATTACTAACAGGTGAAATCCATTTTGGCCATGAGGAGTACGTTGGCTGTTTTGGCGAGCCCCATTATACCGGAACTGTCCAGGGGCGTCAGATGCTATCGCCTTTCAGTCTCGTATCAACCAACACTTACACGATTCCCAGACTCATAGCAATTGCGACGCCAACTTTGTCCTTCGTTCTCATTTGCATGGGTAAAATGATGACCCAAGCTAACACGGCGAGAATGATATCCGCAACCCCAGACCAGGCTTTGGAGGTAATTGGCGCGAGTCAATGAAGTGTTACACGAGTTTGATGCACTGAAAGCCACTTACCGGCTGAGAAAACATTATAATTGGCTGCAATTAGGTTGGTCCAACACCACATTTGTTTCGGCGACACAGTGAGACCTGTCCCGTCACATTCCAGGAAGCTGAGGATGATTCCCACGTCCATCAGTACGTTGACGGATACCAGTAGACACCACACCACTACTCTCATGCAATCTCGTGTCGATCTTACAATTCTCAGCATTGTAAGAGCCCAAGATGTCTTCGTTAAAGCACAGGCCAGTATGGCGCAAGCTGTACCTGTACGGGTGAGCATGTGCATTTTCGGAAGGTTCGCTGGGTCTATCTCCCAGATGTGCTTGCCGACACCGAGGTCGATCAGGACCGTACCACAACCATGATCTGCGCCTGAAAGCATCTAGTGATATCCGGATGTCAGCAAGAAGGTGGAACACGGGCTCGTGTACGAAAAAAAAACAAGAGGAATAACGGACAAACGCAAAAATCATGACCCAATCATCCCACCATAGCCTGCCACCTCCACGGCACCTGCAGTACACTCGGAGTCCAAGGAAGACGCCCGAAATGGCAAACAGTAGCCATAATATGAATACCATGGAGGTGCAGCGATCCATCGTGGCAAGGTTGCCGTCGAAGACAGTGAAAACAAGTCAAGAAGTGAGTAATGGGAGACCAAGGGAAGTCCCTCAAGGGGTGCGAGGTAGTTGACAGGTTGAAAAAGAGTGACGTGCTTGACCAGTCCCTCGGGAACGAAGAAATCGTCCAGCGTCTTCTAGTAATCGATGAACAAAGGAGATCTAGACCTGTCACATGTTGACATTCCATCGTAGCTGAATCGGTCCGTGAGGCTTTGCGGCAATGGCGAGTCCCAGTCTGTCTTAGTATCTGATTTGGTTGGTCCGGTTGGAGACATCACAGCGAGACAAGCTCGTTTTCAGTTACACACTCTTGAAATGGCGTCTAAAAATTAGCGTTCTGGGTAAGGCATGCTAGCGACTGACGGACCGAAGGCTTAGCTCCTGACAAAGTAGGGGTGCACAGATCATGTTGCGGTATGGACAGTCAATCGAGCGATGGGTGCGTAATCTGGCCATCCCCCCCAGCTTGAGGACGAAAGTTAGAAAGCTTAGATGTTTGAAATATTCCAGTGATAACGAACAATCGAGCTTCTAAATACAGTGCATGTTAAATTGCTTGCGACGTGCATGTAGCTTTGGTTTCCTCCTAGCGTTGATCTTTCCTTCGGCTGGTGTAGTGGTTCAGATTTGAGGGCCTAGTCTCGAATATCCCATTCTTTGGCTAAGGCCGCCTTCCACTCCTCGACCGTAGTCTCCTGTCCCTCCCCCTCTTCCGCGTACAAAATCTCCAGGATCTTCTCGTCGCTCTCCAAGGCTCTCACTTCATTTGGGATCCGTACAGTCTTCGCTCGCGGCCCGACATACATATCTCGTCCAAGAGGTGGTATTCTCAACCATCGATGATGAGGGCTGCACGTTGTGATCACCACAGAGTCCTGGGGATCGCGCAACCGCCCGAAACAACCTTCGCAAAAGTCTTTATCCACACAGTAAATGCAGTGAAAGAACTCCCCGTAGAAATCAGCTTTGAAGTCACATCGTCGTCCATCCGGAAGGCGACCGTCACAGAATCTCGTAGCGCTAATAAGACTCTTATCTAGACCAGCTGCGTGCGATCGCTGCAGCGCGGACAGGCGGTTCGCGATAGCGGTGATGCAAATCAAGGCGGTCGCGTCGTCTGTGCCATAACGGTCTTCCGCATTGACTTTTGTCTGTATGTCATCGAGAACAGATTCGATATGCAATTTGGCGGCCTCCAACCGTCGTAGCTGCTGCGAGGCGTCCGGAACCTGGGCCTGGGCAGCCTTGACAGTTTCTCGGGATAGCTTGGTAAGGATGTCCATTCCTCGATCCTTTTCCGTGCCCTCGACTTCGGCAATGTCATGTGGCTCGAAACACAATGCTTCAGTCACAAGATCCGGCTGGCCCGATAGAGACACAGCAACGGCCGCGTTCTTGAGGTCGCCATATTGCGGCAGTGTGCTGGAGATGATTTGGAATCCCAATCTGTCGTTCTCGGGCACCTCATCCGAGAGAATCCATAACGCGAATTTGATCCGTGGGCCCAGAATTGCCCTGGACTGAACGTGGTCACGACGCAGAGCGTACAAGGCGGCAAGATAGCTCGAGGGGTCGGTGATGGTAATCTTAGAATCGACGCCGGCCAGTTCGGACAACGTGCCGATGTCGTCCCGGTGCTCTCCGTCCACCATGTTGTGGAAATAGTGCTTGGCTAGCTCCCTGGTGGCATCCTGTCTCACGACAGAGGCATTGGAACCTCCAACGCCAGAGAGCTGATCCCGGCATTCCAACCACAGCTTCACAGCCGCGCCGACGGGTTCGATATCCCCTGGTGAGACCTCGTGCTTGTATGCCGCAATGGCCCTATAGTAAAGCAACACGCCGCGGGATTCGTCTTCGGCAAAGCGTGCATCGCTCAGCGGCTCTGATGCCCGGTACGCACCGAGCTCAGCATTGGCCGTCGCCGTTTCCAGAGCTCGAACGATGCCTTTGAAAAGATCTCGATGACCCCTCGGCACCGCAAATATCTTGGACATGATATGATCACGATCGCCGTCTCGCGCGATCATCTTGAGAACATTGACCATGCTCCCCTTTCCATCTTCATGAGTCAGTAAGCTTTGAAAAAGCGTCACTTTCACCTCAGGGTCCGGGAGGTCCAACACGGCTTTCACGTGTCCCAGTTGTCCTTTCATCACCTGACCTTCATCGTCACTCATGCACGCTTCCTGGTAATGGTGCGCGGCCTTTTGCGTATCCTCGGCTTTGTAAGAATACTCGCCCAGCCTTAAATGCAAATCGGCGAAGTCATGCTTGTCGGGCTTTGGCGTGGCACCGTCTTGGTCCGCTTTATCAAGCGCCATTTCTACCTGCGCGATGGCGTCCGGGATTTTGTCCAGGCAAAAATAGGTTTCTCCAATGCCGCGGTAGCAGCCAGCTGGGGCTCCCTTGTCTGAGGGCTTGTCTGTAGAGTGACATGACGGTTTCGGCTTTGCTTCCCTGTGAGGACGCGACCTCGGCGAGTCGCTCGTACCAGAGGGAATCGAGGGCTGAATTGGGCAGAGTCAGGTAGTCTTGGCACCACTTGCTCACTTCCCCCCAGTCGATCTCGGCGGAGGAGCTGACACTGGAGCTAGATGAACTTGCATCACCATCAGTGGTGTTATCTGAGAGGTTTTTGGTGTCCTGGTGCGAGGGAATGGTCAGTAGAGCTCTGTGTTCCATTTTGGGGGCTTCTAGATCAGAGGGGTGGTCTCGAACGGGAGCCACACAGAACTCACCACCTTCATGAACTCTTTGATCCAATTATACGCATTCTGCACATCCCAACTCCTCTCCCCTCAGAAGACCTTTCACAACCGTTTCCACCACTGCTTTCAAAAAGCCTCTCACTGGATTCGCTTCCTGTACCTCATCGAGCCACTTCGGCGCCAGCCTCCGCAGTTGAACCGCCGAGTCCATCAACCACGTCTTGACCTGCCTTATTTTTTCCTCGGTCCAGTATGTTGTCTTGAAACTTTCCATGTGTCGTGTAAAGACTTGTTCATCCTTGAACAAGTTGTACAGACTTCGTCCAATCTCCAGCCTCTGGCCAGGCATCAGGCTACCCTTCTCTTCGTCCTCAAGGTGGCGGAGCCGGTCCAGGTGGTACGGCAGCCAGAAGACGAGAAACGGTCCAATAACTTTGGTTTGGCCTGTAGGCTCGTCTGTCAGGTAATCCAAAGCCCGCGTCACGATGGTGTGGTGAGCCTCAAATTCGTCCACGTCGATGGTGTTGTGGCTGGTGTTCGAGGCGGCGTCGAAATCAAACTTGAAGTTGTGCCGAATCGCCTGTTGTGCAAGGTCCCAGAAGAAGTGCCCGCACATTTCCTGGTCCACGTCATTGATCTTGATCGACATACTGATTGTTGGCCGCGAGGACCTGCCAGAGTCGGGTGCCTTCCTTCTGACGTAGCCTTCGACATTGTCCTGGCCGTAGACGCAGTCACCGTCGATCTTGAGGACGGCTGAGTATTTATTGGTGATTATGTATTCCAGCGACGCTAGAGGAGACTTTATGCCTGAGGAGAGATACTTCACGGTTGTCATCGATCAGCATGTGCAAGTTGAGGCTTCTCTGACAGCAAGAACATACCATAGCAGACTCCAGCTGGTCCAAGGTCAAAGCTGTCTTGCTGAAGAGAACCCATTTCAGCAGCTCGTTGAGGTCACTGATCTCTTGCCCCGTCAAGGAGCGTTGCAACTGATTGATAGCCACCTCGTGACTGTTGATTGATCCTGTCAGCATCTTGTCCAAGTCCTTGATAGCCGTACGCGTGCTCAAGATACGAATCACGTTGTCCATCCCGAATTTCAATAGGGAATAACTTCCGCCCACGCTCTTCGGTAATTTGTCGAGAACCTTCTCCCTTGCCATTTCCCGGTCCGAGCCGGGCTCCGCATGCTGCAGCAGCCCTCGGATGCTGAGCTGCTCATTGATGATGATGCGCATGTCTGGCCCATTGTACTGCTCCATTCGGACCCGTAGCGCGTTCCCCATGCTGGGACCGCTCAAGGACTTGTCCATCCCGCTCAAAAGCACGCGCACACGCCTCATCGGTTGCCCCGCCAGCTTCGAGCTGAATATCAAGTTGACCAGCATTTCAGCCTGGCGATCTGGCAGGTTCTCCAGGCCGTCGAATACAAGATAGTATGTGGCCCCCGACCCCGTTGCTCCAATCTTCAGGTCCGTCCATAGGCGTTCAAGGCTCGCCGTTCCCCTTAGCGTGACGGAACCCTCATCGCATGCTTTGCTCAGTGCCTTCCGTACGCTGTCGTCGACCCTCGCGATCTGGAAGGCCATATATTTCAAGACATAGCGCACGCTATCTCTCTCATCTTCTGATCTCTTCGCACTGGCTGGGAAAAAGTAGTGTGCGACGTATGTGCGGTCCTTGGACTCCTCTAGGCGCTTGGTAATTATGGCTGAGACCGAGGACTTGCCCGAGGACGGTGGCCCCGACACAATGAGGACGTGAGAGGTCTCCTTCTGATCCTTCGACTCTGTCCAACACTTATACGATTTATGTTCTGTTATCCATGATCCAGTACCATTGAAGCACTTCGCGAATATGTTGGTGCAAGTCTGCGTGGACTTTGTGTCCAGACGTACTGTGGACGGCACGCTGAGGCTGTCACGGATCCTTTCGAGGGCCTTTTTCCGGTCGGTGTCATCTTTGAAGGACTGCAGTCTTTTCTGTGTCTCCTCAAATGTCTTGTTGAAGACGATGAACTGCTCAAGAATCTGCACCATGTCCTTCCGCGTGTCAACCACCTGAGCGAGCGTGATGGTTCCCTCGATTTCATGCTTCCGCTGTAGGGCGTCCTTGAACTTGGTCATCTCTCCATTCAGGCCGGAGTCATCGTCAAAGATCGACTTGAAATCTTGTCGCAACCTTTTCCACCTGCTCCCCTGCCGGTACTTGACCACGTGGGCGCACAGCTTGACGAAGCTGACCATGACGGTCCGAATTTCCTGGAGGAGTAAACCGTCGAGAGACGCGTCGATACTTTCCATTGAATCGTAAATTCGAAACTGAGACAGGGACGTCGACACCTTTCCGAAGACGTCATTGATGGCATCGTGGTAGCCCTTGATGGCTAAAGGAATGTCGAACACAAAGCAAAGCGCGTTACTGGTGATGTCCGCGGCCCCGGCAGGGACAAACCCCTAGAATCGTCAGCTTCCACCTGGCTGCAGATAATAAGCACTGCGACATACAAGCGAAGAAGCTTTGGAGGCGACTCCGACAAGCATCTTTAAGTACTTCAGCGAGTCGAGTCCGACTCTTTTCGCCTTGTCCCACTTCTCTTCCTGCTCGGGGTCGAAGCCACCTGCAACCTTGCTGACGCTCTCAATCTTCTTCTGCACATCGTCGAAAGACTTCACGTCACCTCTGAGAAGGGACTCGCCACAGATATCTTTGAAACCATCGATGGCTTCGTCCCATATTGCCGTCATGCCTATCTCCCCGCCCAAAGCCGTCTTTCTCGTCGCTTCGGGTGACTGCTGCGCCATTGCTTTGTAACAATAGTGGTAGTCAAGTAGATGGAAAGTAGGACTGAGGTAGCAACGGCCAAAAAGATTGACAGAGAACGAGGACTGCCAGGTCTGATTATCTGTAAGGAAAGACAGGCTATAGGTGGACTCATTCTATGGGGCACAGAGGCAGACTCTATCACGACGATCGTAGCCTCTTTCGCTCATCGGTTGGTCGCCTGCATCACACTGTTGACCAATGAGGAACTGTTCCAGGTCGCGCTGAAGACGAGGATTAAGGCTCTGCGCCTCTTTAGGTCATCAAGCACGACGATCCTGGTCAATTCTTCTATACGGAAACTGTTGGGAGGTCTCTCGTACGTACGATAATCGTATGGGAAGCAATTATGTATTAGTGTTATTCTGTCTAAGTTTTAAGAGGTTATATGCCCCGGAGGGGATAACTAAAATAGCCTTTTAAATATAAGAATTATACTTACCAATACTTATAGTTTTTCTCTTTTTTTAATAAGTATATATAATCTTTATTATAATTAATAATTTTTATTATAATTAACCTTAAAATTATAATTTATTATATATTAAATATATATAATCTTTATTATAAAAAAATATTATTAAAAAAGCTTAAAATTATAACTTATAAATTTTAAAATAAATTTTAATAACTTTTATTATTATATTACTTTTTAAACTTATAATTATTATTATTATATTATTCCTTAAATATTATATTTATTATTCTTAATATTTAGCTTTTAGGATTGCTTTTTTATAAAAATTATTAATTTTTATATTATAGCCTTAATTTTAAATTTCTTTTTTATAAAGAAAGTTAATATTTATAAAGTTAATGCTAAATTCTTTAGCTTATATTTATTTTTATTATATATCTTTATAATATAAATATTATTATTTTTATTTTTACTTTTATTATTAAAATATATTTAATATTATTTTAAATTAATTTCCTTTAGCTACTTTTTATTTTTTTAAAATTAAGCATTATAAATAGCTTAATTATTTATTATTTCCTTTTCTTAGTTTTTATTATTTTTTTTAATTTCCTTAATAATTATCTTTTATTTAAATTATTTAAGTAATAATATATATTTTTTAATAAATTCCTTTATATATAAGCTTTATATATACTTATTAATAATTTAATATAAAAAGTTTTAAAATTAAGTTAATATAATAATTTAATTCTTTAATAATTAAATCTTTTTAATTTAATATATATAAAAGATATTTTAAATTAAAACTTTTATTAAGTTATTTATTATAAAAATTATAATAATTTAATATTTAAAATAATAATTACCTTAATAATTCTTATTATTAAAAATATTATATAGTTTTATATTAAAAATTTTAATGCTTTTAATATAAATATATAGCTTTTTAACTATATTATTAAAAAATATTTACTTATTTTAATATTACAAGTTATTAATAATTTAAATAATAACTATTATAATAATATTATTTAAAAAAAGTATTTTAGCTTAAGCTATAATTATAATTTTTAATTTATTAATTTTAATAATTCCTTAGGAGTTTATCTTAATAAGCAGCTTACTTTTTTTAATGCTTAGCATAAAAGTAAAGTTAAAAGCAATTTTTATAATTTTTATTAAGATTTTATTAACTTAATTTTAATTATTTTTATTATTAATAATAATTAAATTATTATTAATATTAAATAAATAAAAATTATTATTATTAATATTCTTATTAATATTTATTAACTAAATAAATAAATAAAGGTTATTATTATTAATATTCTTATTAATATTTATTAAATAAGCATTATTAATAATAATCTTGCTATAAGAATTAATAAAATTAATAAGCTTATCTTTATCTTTATTAATTAAGGCAATTTTAACTTTTCTTATAGCCTTAATAATAATTTTAATCTTTATTTTATTACTTAATAAAAATATAATTATAATATTTATTTTATTAATTAAAGTTATAATTATAATATTTATTTTATTAATTAAGATTATAATTATAATATTTATTTTATTAATTAAGGTTATAATTATAATATTTATAAGAAAATTTTAATTTTATTTAAGAGTTATAATAAGGCTACTTTTAATATTAATTATATTAATAATAGCTATATTAATAATTATATTAAATATATCCTTAATATAAAAAGTAAATATAATATTTATTAAATAATTTTACTTATTATTATTATTTTTATAAAGTAAATTAATAAAAATATTAAATAATTTTTATAAGTTATTATTAATATTCTTTATTATAATAAAAAAAAAGATTTTATAAAAATTTAATAATTAAAATAAATATTTATAATATAAAACTTTATAATTATTATATATATAATAATTATTAATTTATTTTTTAATTATAAGAAAAATTAATAAATTATAAATAAATTTAATAAAAATTAATTTTAATATTATTATTAATAAATAATAATAAAAACTAATAATAATAATAAGGTTAACTTTAAAATAATAATTATTAATAATATTAATAATTATAAGGTTATTTTTATATATAATAAAGTATTAAGAAAGTATTAATTAAAATATAAAAGATTAAAATTTATATTAAGGGTTTAAGTTTAAAAAGTATAAAGTTTTATAATTAATAGCGGTAAGGTTAAAAGAAAAAGATATTAACGGTAAGTTGCTCCTTTCTTAATAAAAAGGGGCTATTTTAAGTTTCTTAACCAATTCATTTATTTATATATAAAGCTTATTATTATTAATAAGCTTTTATAATATAATATTTAAAGTTAATTTTATTATTATATTAATAAAATTATTTTTTTTATTTATTTATCTTATTTTAATAATTTTTCTTATTTTATATAATTTTTATAATAATATAATATTAATTATATAGTATTTTTTCTTTATTATTTTTAGCTTTATAAGGTATTTATATAAGCTATATAAATTTATATAAATAATTAAAAGTATATTTAATAATAAGAATTATTTTATAGCTATTTTAATTATTATAGCTAAGGAAATTTTAATATTTACTTTATTTATTATATTATAAATTTTGCTTATTAATATGCTTTAAGTAATATATTTATATTATATTAATAATTAATAAAAAATATTATTTATTATTATAAATCCCTTAATTTCCTTATAAGTTTTATTTATAAAAATAATAATATATTTAAGTTAAAATATTAAGTTTTAATTATTTATAAATAATTTATTTATAAATATAAAAAGTTTTATTATTTTAAAATTAAGAAGTATATATTTAATTCCTTATATAACGTTATTTATTTATTATAGTAATTATATATTTAAGCTTTTATAATTTTTTATTTTTAAGTTTTGCATTTATATAGCTATTAAAAGATTATATAAAGCTTTTAATTAATAAATTAAAGCTATATATATTTTATAAGCTTTTTATTTAAAATATTTTTAAAAAGTATCTTTAATTATTATATTAATAAGGGTAAATTTATTAACTTATTCCTTTTATTAAGTAGTAATTAAGTTAATAGTATTTATAATTATATAAGCCTTATTATAATTTATTAAATTTTTAAGCATTAACTTTTATTTTAATTTTCCTTGCAATTTTATAGCTTTTATCTTAATTTCCTTCTTATCTTAAAATTTTAATATAAATAAAATTAATATATTATTTATTTATATACTTATTATTTTAAAAAGTTATATAAGCTTTATAATTATTAAGCAAGGATTATATATAAAGCAATTTATTTTAAACTTTTATTAATAATATTTTTAATATATATTAAATTAATAAATATTAAATTTTACTATGCTATATAAAAGTTAAATAATATAAATAATTATGCTTAAAAAGTATTTATTCTTTAATTCCTTTAATAGCTTTATAAAAATTATCTTATATAGTTTTAACTTTATTTAAGGGTAAACTTAAGTAATATCTTAAAATATAAAAATTATGCCTTTTTTTTAAATTAATAAAGAAGTAAATATAAGAATTATTTATTAGCTTATTCTTTAAATAATTAAGCTTTATATTAAAATTAATCCCTTTTTATTATTATTATAATTTTAAATAATAAATTAAAATTTCTTATATAATTTTATAATTTTACTTTTTACTTTTTATATTATATAAAACTTAAAAAGATAATATTTATTATATTGCTTTATTAATTATTTTTTAATTTAAAAGATACTTTTAATAATAAAGTTATTAATTTTTATTTTATTAAATTTTTTAAATAATAAGCTTAATATTATAATAACTTTATTTTATTTTAATTTAATTATTAAGTTATAGTTTTTATTTTCTTTCTTTAAAATATATAATATAATAATATAATTTTTTATTTTTAATAATAATAATTATATAATAAGTTGCATTTAAGGTTTTATAATTAAATTTTTTATTTATAAGGATTGCATTTTCTTATTATTATCTTAATAATATAATTAAATAATTATTAATTTAAATATTATAACTTTATTTAATATATTTAAGGTTATATTATATTTATTTATAGCAATAACTTTATATAAATCTTTTCATTTCTTTTTTTCTTTTTATATATAAACTTTATATTATAATAAATATTTTATATTAAAAATAAATTTAACCTTAATATTTAATGCATTTTATATTTATTATTTAGCTATAATTTTTTATAGCATTTTTATAGCCTTTAAAATAACTTTTACTTATTTTTATATTAATAATAATAATAATAATTTATATAATACTTATAAATAAATATTAAAAATTAAAAGTATAAGAATTAATTTATTTAATTTAATAATATTATTAATAATTTTTATAGCTATTTATAAAATAATATTATTATTTATATTATTATATAATTTAATATATAGGATTTTATATATTTATTTAAAAACTTAATAATATTTCTTAACTTTCTTAATAAATTAATATGCCTTTATAAAGATTTATTTACATTTAATTTTCATTATTTATACCTTTAAATAAAGTTTTAAAAATATAAAGTTTATTTTTATATTATA